TAACAAGCCTCTGATTGCGCGCGTGAGCTCAAAGGACGACCTTGCCACCCGCCTGGTCGCGGCCAAGACAACGCCTTTTGTGCTGTTCGTGCAAGACAAAGCACCTGCCACGGCCCTCGAACGCGGTATAAACAATGGTGCCTGTCTCGACCATCCTGGCCGACCTTCTTCACTGCCACCGCAAATCTCACGACATCATCACCGTCATGCATCTTAGCTGCCGGTGATATGCTGCCCAACGTGGCCTGCGCTGTGGCCACGCCTGCTGTTGTTGCGGATGCGGGCCTGTCGCTGACGCCCGGCATTTATCTCTGCAAGGATGAGGAAACCTTGACTTACACCGGTGAACCCGAGAATCTGGCAGACGTAAGGCCATTGCATGACTTGTCGCAGTTTCACACCTGACATGTATCTGTAATCATCTTTGGCCACGCCTTTTCCGTGACACATTGCATGCCGGGCGCCAGTGGGCTTTGTTGCACCGTTTCCCGCGCGTCTTTGAGTTCAACTCGCAGAATGCACGTGGTTTTTATGGAAACAAGAATCCGCCCAGCGTGGCCGTGCTCCTGGTGGAAGACGCCGATTCCACAGGGGCCGCGCAGGCTTTGAAGCTGGCCAACGTCATTGAGGACCAACAATTTGCTTTCATGCAACCCAAAATGGTGCGCAATGCTGCATGGGTTTTCAGTGCTTGCTGCAACTCCTGTGCCATGGGCTCGCCCCTCATTTGGCATCCTGCCCCCCTTGTAGATCCCCTTTCTCGTGAACAAAATCTGGCAGGCAGACACAAACCAGCTGCCCATTTTGGTGGTGCGTGTGCACCGCTTGAGCGGCTAAACAACATCTGTGGCCTCTATCTGCTGCTTGCTTGCATGCCCGATCCGCCCATGCATGGCCACACCCATCAGCTCAGTGTATCACTTGCGTGCTCTGGATCAATTCTAGGTTCATGATCAAGCAAACATGGTCTTCTTCATGTATGACGGCGATGTTGCTGATACGGCGGCCGTTCAAGCTTTCTTGGCCGACGTCAAGGCTGGCAAGGTCGGTTCGCTCGCACCACACTGCATTTGTTGCCACTGCAGGTACAACTAGGGTCCTGACGCACGCTTTTGCGATTTCTTCGACCGGCCACTTGCAGGTTGAGGGCAGCAGCATCAATTCAAGTAGCCGCTTTTTGGAAAAGTATGTGAGCCGTGACCTGTCGCTCCGTCGCGCCACCCGAGTTGACTTGTTGCCCCGCTCCATCTGACGTTGGGAATGGCTTTGCCCCCGATCGGGCAGGCAACTGCAGTCCATCATGGCCGGTTTTGTGTACCTCCGGGACGAGCAACCCATCTTGATGGGTGTGACCCTATTCTGTGCCATGTGCGCCATGATCGTTGCCTTTCAGGCCCTGTTCCGTGAGGACAAGGCTCAAGCCAAGGTGGAACAAGCCGCCAAGTCGGCTCAGAGCAAGAAGGCCGACTAGAGAGCAGAAGTCGGTGCCCAGGGAAGGAGTGAAGTTCAAGGATTTGTTGCAGAGGCACCGGTGGTACCGGTGCTGATACTTTCGCTTCCCTACACATCAATCCATCCAGATACCTTCCAACGTATCGAGACGAAAGCTACTTGGCAGCATTCTAACAATTGCCCTCAAGTTGGAACTCACCCGACAGCATGAGTATAATCCATCATCAATTGACATGTACATGCTTGACATGCAGACATGCCAGGAAGCCGGGAGTTGGTTGACATCAAAACACGTGGGTGGGTTGTCCCCCACGCCGTGCTCACAGGGGGTGTATATTTTGCACGTTTTTTTGCACATTCAGCGAGAGTGAGATGTCACGAATCTCAACCACACCAGCGATACAACAAAGGCACTTTGAGGAGCTCGGCAGTTTATAGGCAAGATGAAACCTAAAAGTCACTGTAGGACGAGGATTTGGCCATTAAGCTGGCAAACTCCTTGTAATCAATTTCACCATCTCCGTCTGTGTCAATGTCGGCCACCATTTGCTCGAACTGCGACAACACATGACCACACAGCAAGCAAAACAAAGGCGGGGTTGGAATGAGAACGAGTGGAGCGGTTTGAGAGCAACGCAAGAACTCAGGTCGGGATTCAGATGACCACCACAGACCTCGTCTTCGCTAAGTTTTTCGCCGACGTTAGTAAGGAAACGCTTCAGCTCACTGCGGCTGACGGCACCTGAGCCATCCTCATCCATCTGTTGCAGCCCAAATCCCAAGCAAGGTGGAACGCAATGGTGAGGGCTTTATGCTCGGGCAAATGGCTCAAGAGAAAAAAAAAGAACAAAAAAAAAAAAAAAAAAACAGGAAGAAAAAAGATATGCTCCTTCACCAGAGGGCAGGAGGGAGAAAAGCTGCGCGATAAACAGACCGCTTTGAAAGCAGCGATGAGCTCCTTCTCTGTGGGCAGAGGCTTGTGGTGCTCTTCCATCAAGGCCATAAACCCATCCCAGTTGACCTACGCGGATGAATGAGTGGACACATGCACAGACAATGAGAAATGGCAGGAAATGCCCAAGACACTTTGGACTCGGCTGCGCACCTCGCCATCAGAATAAATGTCGAGATCGGTCGTGATATTCTGCAAATAAGCCCATCACAGCATCAAACTGTGAAGGTGCTGAAGGACAAACAGATTGACGCCTTGCTACAGATTCCAGAAGGGCAGGGGGCGGGAATGGTCTTGACACGCAGACGTACGGCAATGGCGTTCTCCGTGAGGGGGATACCACAGGCGCGCAGGCATTTGCAGCAGGCGTCAGAGTCGAGCTTGCCGTCACCATCCTCGTCATAGATACCTAAATGTGCTCGAAAGTACCCATTCATCACGCATCAGAGGTTGAGACTCGAGAGGTGCGGCAGGAACCGCTGGTCAAGTTGCCTGCCATCAACATGGTCGGCGCACACGAGCAGACTCTGCGATCCCAACTCTCTGCCCGCATCCCTTCTGAGGCACTCGTGGGAGTCATCGGGAACGAACCATATGCCAGGCGAAACTCCTTGAGCTGCTTGGCAGAGAACTTGCTGTCCTCATCCGCCATGTTTTGATGATGCCGGGATTGATGCAGCCCACCCACCACCTCCTCTTCAAACCCTCGAAAAGAAACGAAGGAGGCAACAGCGGCAAGCTTCTTCGAGCCAGCACACAGCTACCCCTGCAACCCAGGTCGCCTCTTCTTTCGTTACCCCCAGTCCATTCAGCCTACTGCCTTGGCTGCGCTGCTGAAGTGACGCCGCCGCCTCTTGAGCTAAAAACTCGTTCCGCCTTGTCCGGAAAAAATAAGGAATTTTCATTGCCTCCCCTTGACAAGATAGAGGGGGTTTATATAAATACAGCATGCCTTAAATTATCACTCATATGTCAAACTTATACCCAAGATCAGGTTGGGAGTGCCCAGTCAATCGGGAATTCATCGAGTACGAGAGGAAACCATCAAGGATTGGCTGCTGGTGTGGAGCGGGGTGGCGTCACGCTTAGACTGTATGCTTCGTTGATCCGTTGCTCGCATGCAATGGACGTCGATTAAAGAACACGCATGACGTGGAACAGCCCGAGGAGATGAGCTAGCCGCCGGCGTTGTCGCCCCTAATGTGGCCAAGCACAAACAGTGATCGCCATAGACAACGCCTCCGAAGGGTCGGCTGCAGTAGCTTGCTCCCCGCCCTGCACCAGAGGCTGAACCGTTCCCGGACGCAGTCACTCTTTTTTTCTCTCTGTGTCAAGGTCGCACTCGGCTTTTTTTTTTCTTCTCTCTCTCTCTCTCTCTCTCTCTCTCTCTGTCAAAGTCGCCCGAGTGCACTCACGATCTGGGTTTGAGGTCCAGCTTGTGTCAATTTTCAATGCTGGCGGGATTAGAACCGATACTCGAACACAAGAAGCGAGGCGGGTGGCACTGACAACTTTAGGGTGCCGTCACGATAGGAGATTTCGCCAGTGTGCCGCACGCCATCTGCTGCGGCTTCGCGTCCGGGGGCACGACTTGGGGCCGAAGGACTCAGATCAACTTGTTGCAGGCTTCCTTCCTCTGGCAAGCCCAAGTGCCAGACCAGAGCCGTGATCTGGGCTGTCTGGTGCGGGTTGCGATTCAGGGCAACAATCACGACGTGCTCTCCCTTGAGGAAACGCGCAAATGCGTACGTATCTCGCCCAGCGTCGAGATCCAGCATGGCTCCCGTTTGCAGTACCGGCCAAGCCCGCCTGAGCCCGGTCATGGTTCGATAATAGCCGAGTAGATCCTGGTCCCAGCTTCCTTCGTCGTGCCAGGGAAAGCACCGGCGGCAATCGGGGTCCGGTCCTCCCTCGAGCCCCACCTACAGGCCACGTTGCAACCCAACCCAACATGATGCCATGACACGAGTGGCAACGAGATCAAACATTCTCCAGCAGCACCCGATGGGCTGCCCCTTTCCCGTCAGTCGAGGGTACCAAACCGTCCCAATTGACGCACCTCGTCACCGTAGTAAATGCAGGGAACCCCCGGGTAGGTCATGAGTAGCCCAACACCCAAGCGCATGAGTGCCTTGTTGCCCTTGAGCAGCCACAGAAAGCGTGGCGTATCGTGCGAGTCTAGCAAGTTGAGCTGGGAGAGAACGTTGGCCCAAGGAATCTTGCCCCGCGCCTCGCGCAGCCATGCCGCCATCTCCTTGCCCGTCACATGCACGGGCTCGAAAATCAAGTCTTGCTGCGCCAAAAAAGCCCGGACCGGATGGGCAAAGCCGTAGTAGTTCATGGCGCCGTCCTCGAGATCGCTGCAGCACCCAACCAAACGTCAACACACACACACACACACACACACACACACACACACACACACACACACACACACACACACACACACACACACACAGCGTGACATGATCCCCACCAACGCAACTGACCCCTGGAGCCAGGCCGTGGCCTCATAAAAGTGCTCGCCCAAAAACCAGGCGTCGGCGCGTGCATGCTTGACAGCTGTGCGCAGCTGTTGAACGTAGAGCTTGTTGTTGCGCGCCGTATCCCCCTCGCCCAGCACTGAGTGCACAACCCAACACGCAGGCAAGCGGTCCGGAGTGAGGAGTTATCAAAATCAATGCAGTGAAAGTAAGGGACTCACTGTGAATCACGTCAAAGCGCCACCCATCAATGTCATAAGGCTTTTGCAAATACTTTTTGACCACGGCCTGATCGCCAAGCCAGAAGTACTCTTGCACCTATTTGGCATACAGCGCGCCGATGGCCAGGACGGCAGTCCGTTCAGCTTTGGGCACAAAATGCTGCCACGAATCGTTAGGGCGAGACAAACCTTGGCATTGGCCAGATTGAGCTTGGGCAGCGAATGATAGCCCAGCCAGGAGACATAGTCGTCACCCTGAAAAAAGTAAAACTCTGTCCAGACACGGTGAGCACGTTGGCCCAACCTCTACATCGGCCCACCAAGTTGCGTTCCGTAGTTTGACCCTCTCCCCCCGACCCACAACCCACACCACACACATCACACACTGCGTACCGCGATATAGAGAGGCGGGATTGCCATACGCGCCTTCGGTGCCGTGTTCACCTAGCGAGGTTGTTTCAACTCGGGATGAAGCCGAAACGATGAGGCAGCCCTTTGGGGCGGCCGAAGTCGTGCACGCCCAACTCACCGTAGCGATCCATAAAAGGGTGGTGAGAGGACGTGTGGTTGAGCACGGCATCTAGCACCAGCTTCATGCCTCGCTCCTTCGTCTCTGCACGCAAGGCCAAAAGAGCCTCTTCACCACCGAGATGTTTGTCGATCGACAAATAGTCCACCGTGTCATACTTGTGGTTGCTGGGCGAGGTGAAGATTGGGTTCAAATACAGAGCGGTGATGCCCAAATCCTGGATGTAATCGAGCTTCTGACGCACGCCCACCAGGTCACCGCCAAAGAACTCAGAGCAGCGGTGTTCATCATCGGAGCGGGGCAAGGCCCCCCACTCGCGCCGTGACACTGCCGCACCCAAGTAGGTGTACTCGCCCTCCCGGACGCTCAGCGAATCCTTGCCGTTACAGAATCGGTCCGGAAATATTTGGTAGAAGATCTGCGAGTAGATCCAGGTGGGCGGCGTGCTCGAACAGTAACAAAAGTGCGTCTCACGACCTGGGATGCGGGGCCACATGCCCCTAGCATCAAGCCAAATCTGACGGTCAGGAAGCAAGATCTTGAAGGCGTAGTGCGTCTGCGCTCGATCTACGCAACCCACCACAAGACAACCAACAGAGCGAGCCACTCTGTCAGGCTTTCAGCTGTCATCGAGTTTTATTTTAATTCTCGCTGTCCTCCCAAGAGAAATGCAGGCGCTACTGACCGCGATTGCAGGGCACGGTGGCCACCCAGTAGTTCAGACGGTTGCTCGTCGACTCAAGCTCCATCGGGACCCGATGTTCCTCGTTATCCGGCTAGTAGATTGGCGCAAGGCCCGGGTTGCAGTTAGGGCCAGTCAAATTCACGGAAATATGAAGGCACGAACGACGTTGCCAGTCAAGCGTGCAAATACGTTCGTTGGTTGATGTGAGGTTCACTGCGAGACCCACCTCAAGACGGACAAAGACGCCTTTGAGCTGAGCAGACGCATCCGTGGCCATGCGCAGCTGCAAGGTCTCTCCCGCTGGACGCACCCAGAACGCATCTTGGCCATGAAACGCAAAGGGAAGCTTGGTGTGCACTGATGGCGTGGCCACTGTGGCTGCCATGGCTGGTGTATGGGAGCCTGGGCTGGTCATGATGGTCCGTGCCCGTTGACGCAAAACGTTGCTGCTGCTACACGTCGAGCAAGCTGAAGAAAGGGCTGACCAGACACGTCGATGTGTTGAGTTGAGCACTGCAAACCAGTGAAGCGCCATGCCCAGGTCCAGGCCCAGCAGGCTATGCAAGAGCAATCAAATGACGCCGACGCCAACAAGTCAACTCCACGTCGAGCGCAGCCCCAAAAAAAATGCAACGATTCCACACTGGCGGTGCTGGCAAGGTGCAGACCCGTTCAGATGAACGGCGCTTGCCAACGGCTCATCGCTGCCTAGCAAGCCACACCCAGACACACCCTACTCACTGTACAGATGCTGGTTTACGATGCAAACTGAGAGTGATCCCTGCACCCCGACCAAACGCGCAAGCGCGGTTGCGCACGCGTCAACCGGTTGACTGTTTTGATGAACGCTCACAAAACTGCGGACAGCAAATTGTACCATGTGCTGACAATTGCTGTTTCACAACAAGAAACGTGGTGGTGGTGGTGGTGGTGGTGGCAGTAGAGGCGGTGGTGGCTGTACGTGGTCGCATCCTGGCATAAAGAGGACTAAAAGCCGAAACCCCCACGTTTGATGATACTACCACTACAACATGCACCACTGGCATGTGGGATTTGATAGAACATTGCCTCCGCCTGCAGTTTCTCCTGCCGACTATCATGGAGGCGTCTGATGGTCTTGGAGCCAGTCAAGCCATCTGGATCGCTTCGTGTGTGAGGTGACTTTTGCTGTGTCGCGGTACCCAAACGTGGCGCAAGAACATGTGCAGTTTTGAGAGGGGGCCTTCTTCATTGAGATGCTGGGATAGAAGAAAAGGCTTTGCCGTGGTCGATAGATTGACATTATGGCATGAATGCGGCGAGCGCAAGCTAGAATCGAATAACAGAAAACTCAAGGGAAAAAAGATGGAATGACCAGAAATTCATCAAGTTGCTCGAGATACACGCGCAACAAGTGGCCAACTATCCAAAAGAAAATCAGTAAGACTCGGTTAAGGCAGGCTATAACAAGATCTGTAGCTCCCAAGGGGATGCAGAAAGGTGCGGACGCCGAGGGGGGAAAGGAGACTCAACCACAAGGCTACACAAAGCCCTATGCTTCGCTGCTGCTACGCAACGTTGCTTCATGCGCCGCTTGTGGCTGGTCCTGGTCGTGCACCTGGATGTCAATGAAAACTCCGTCGAATGATTCGCCGTTGAGGGCGAGCTCGGTCTTGTTGGTGGGGGCGGGACCACCAACTGGATCGGGACCTTCCTCCGCAATGTAAAAGACTTCGTCCTCCATTTCCTGCAGGAAATTGTCCGTGGAGGGATGATTGCTTCGATGAAAGAGGCTAAATCGTCGAAGGGATGCGCTACTGTGATCGTTGCGCGTCAGTTCACCCGACCCCACCGACGGCAGTCGCTCAACTTGCGCGCGTTGGCGACGAATGCGCTGCATGGCTGACACGGCGGATTGCGAGCGCTCGCGCTCAGTCGTGCCGAGCGACATGGCCCGACGAGGTGGCACGGCCATCTTGCCACGCGTGGAAAGCTGTTCAGGATCCTGTTCGATCAGGTCGGATGCGTCAGGTCGAGTCGCCATAGTGAGGTTCAACCCCACGCCTCCGTCGCTGTCCACGCTGCCCCGAGACACGTTACTGAGCGACTCTGCGGGTGCCAGGTGCGCCTGCTGATCCAGCTAGTTTGACGGTGCCACATAACCCAAAATCGATAAGAAGCGGGGGAGAAAAGAGGATGAGCCAAGACAATGCACGTAAAAAGTTGGGGGGGGGGGGGGGGGGAAGCGCACCTCGTGCATGCTCTCGGAGACACTGCTGAGACGCGGAATGAGGGAAGTGCGTGGCTTGCGAGAGCGGCCGAAGCCCGGTCCACCCTCGGCCTGACCGAGCTGCAAATGCAGATCCTCGGTACTTGACGCCTGATCCAGCGAGGTGGTGCTCTCTGCCCCAGCATAAAAGCCCAGCTAAACATCAGCGGTCCACAAACAAGGTTAGCAGACAATGTGTGGCATGCACATGACTTGATAGAACGAACTGGCTTGGCTTATGTTTCATAACCTTGTGCGCGCTCGACGCACCTGTTTGGGCTTATCACCCTTTGGAGTTTCTGGCTCCTCGGGCTGGAAGGATGGCATGGACGCAGAGGAGCGCAGACCGCTGCGTTTTCGAGGCTGCGAGCGCATGCTTGCATCTTGCAAATCAGACGCGGAACGGTGCGTGATGCTGCTTTGCCGTCCTATAAATGGTCGAACAAGGATGCATGTAAATTTGGAATTGAGCCCAGCACGGTTACGCCACAGGCGAGTGGCCTCAGCGCTTGATATTGAGCTCTCATTGTCGAACCAACCGTAACCAGACTCGGGGCTGGCCAAGTCGGTGTCGTGTGATAGGGATAGATTACCCCGGCTTCGATTGAAGAAACGAAAGCGATGGCTGTGTACGCCAGGACTCGACGGCGAGTGATCGCGATGGTGGTGACGCCAAAAGTTGTACCTGTTCGGTTAAGCCAGACCGTGACGGCGGGTTGAGCACGAAACAGTGGTACAGCAGAAGCGATGGGCGCATCAGGAGCCGACACAGCCAGGAAGAGCCGGGGACAGTCGGGGGCAGAGTAAAAGACAGGAACATACCAATGATGGTGACTGTCTGCATGTTCCTGCTCGCGTTGGCGACGCACGGCAAGTGCTTGCGCTTGGCGCCTGTTCCAGCAAACCCGCACAAGCCAAATTCACCATGCACCGTTCAGGGTGAGTGCCAAATCGCAGATGAGTAACGGCGAGCCGCAAGCAACAGACCGTTCGAGGTTGGAGAACGAGGTTAGCTCGGTTTGTGTTGCCTTGGACTGTTGGAAATCCTCGCGAAGAGCTTGGTCGTCGTCTGCCGCCTTGACACGTGTCTCGAGCAGCAGCAGCAAACCGACAATGACTAGAAACATGCAAAACCCATGACCGCGTCAGAGACTCTGCATGCAACAAAATGCACAAAGGACCTACTCCTTAACACGCGCGCGCGCACACACACACACACACACACACACACACACACACACACACACACACAAGAGAGAGAGACATCAAGTCCACAACTCGAACCTGTTAGGACCAAAATAAGGTGGACGGCCTGAAACACCGAGCCTCCCTCATAGTAATACTCCTCCTCGCCAGTGGTCGCGTTGATTTCATACACCTTGTGTGCATCTTCAATAAGCGCTGCTAGAGGAATCACGGCCATGCTCAAGACCAGCTGCATGCCATAACACCGTCAGTGAGACGCAGGCGCATGTGCGGGCAGGTAGGTTCACGCAAGCATGGCTTGGGCGAAGCAAAAGAAAAGTTGGTTGGTAGCAATCCCAGTAACGCACCTCGATGCCAATGACGGTATAACGACCAGTTTCTTTGCCGCAGACCTTTAACGGACGCAGCTTGTGGCAAACCCGGGATAAGTTCATGGTAATCAGCGTCACACCGAGAGACACTGTCAAGGTCCAGGCGTATTCTTGGTGGTAACCTGAAAAAAAAACAAGGCCACGGTGTGCCGTCAAGAGGCGCAACCAAGGAGATAACGGCGGGGTCAGCGTCGCCACATCATCGCGCTGCCACAGGGGAAGGGGTCACACCGTAAGCATTTTTGCCGTTGTATGTAATGGCAAACTTGATGCCCACGGCCATGATTAGCATGCCACTCGTAATAATGAGCTGAAGCAAGTCGAAGATGAACCCCATCCAAGGACTGTGATCGAGCGCGTGTTCCTCGGCTCGCTCGTCGAACAAGTGCTGCCAGTCACAAAAGGCCGTTATGCAAAGAGAATTGTGCAAAACGCAGGAGCAGAAACAGAGCGCATAACGGATGAGCGTGGCGGACTCCGCCGCTGCTGTTGATAGAGCCGGCGTAAACCCGGAACAAAAAGATAAATAAAAAAATAAATAAATAAATAAAACTGCAATAGACCGACAAGCCAGACCTGAGAGTAGTTGTGAAAACGCATCAGCCAATAGGCAATAAGGAAAGAGCCGATGGCAACGACGTAGTACTCTAGGTCCCGCGTGTGTTGCGCAGTGGCGATGGAGATGATCGACTCGCCTGCGCATTGCCATCCCAGAGCCACAGGCAGCATGAGACTGGGCAAAAACACAGCGAAGTGGCCGGCGCCAATGCAAATGCCAGCCCTTCTTGCCGCACATACCGAGAATGAGGATGACCCAAAGCTGGTTGCGCTCGAGCAGATGCGCCGTGTTCACCTACAAAAGAAAAGGATAACCGGCCACAACGGAGCAATTAGAATGCGAGTGTGGTTGAGCGAGGGGAACGAGTGATTCGGGCTTTTTGCTGCTGACAAGAGATCTATAGGAGATCGGATGCCCGCTCGCGCGCTCTGTGTGCTTCCTCCCCTTTCCGTTCCCGCCGTGACATCCGCTTCTGTGCCGTGCTCGCCCCTTGGCTGATTCGCGAGGCATGGCGCACCGTTAGCTGGTAGTCGTGCGGCGTCGTCAGCAGAGTGATGGGATACATGAAAATCTCCACTGCCAGCATCAGAATCCAGCAAGCAAAGGCTGTTTCGGTATCTGGCACAGCAGTGGCCACGATCAATAGGATCGAGGACAAGAAGAAGAACAAGGAATACTTCTTGAGCATGGGGCGGGCAAGATCAATCTTGGCATAGATGAATATATCTGTGAGAGGGAAGAGGTGAGGGTAAGGAAACACACACCCAAAAAATTAAAAAAAAATAAACACAAAAACAACTTTGTAAGACCATGGCCACAAAAGGAGTTTGATCAAGAATAAAGAATCTGATGCGGTCGGCGTACAGATGAAAAGGAAGCAGATGCGCGTTAGGAGCAGGGAGCCAAAGATGAGGTCGTCGTTCTTGCCAAAGCCCGTTTCGAGATCGTCTTCCGTTTGATTGACGGCATGAATAGCGTGGCCGAGCGTGCCAAGCATGATGAGGAAGACCAAAATTGAATACGGCGTGCCAATGTGGAAGCGAGTCTAAAGAGCCACATTGATGAGCAAGCCAAGAAGAACCCAAGCCCATGAAAAGAGGGGGTCGACAGCGTCATGAGGAAGAGGCCTTGTGGTGTGTGTGCACGCGTGTGGAAGCAACTGGAAGAAAGGATGGGCCCATCGATCATGTTTGCACCGACCAGCATAATGTTGGTGTGAAACCATGTGATCCAGGAGGTTGCGAAGATCAAAATTGTTTCAATAATACGAGCACCACTGAGGTCAGCTTTGAGAAAATGGCCCAACTCAATGCCAATCTACATCGTCAGGCAGGGCTGTCATGAGGCTGGCCACCGGATGGGTGCGGGGATGTAGGCTGCGGCAATGACAAACCGCAACGAAAACGAGATCGTAGAAGAGCTCTCCGGCTGAAACTTCAGCGTGCTGTGGGGTGTTGTGCAAAGGCCATGAGCAGAGGAGAACAGGTTCTCGGAAAAAAAAAAAAAAAAAAAAAACATGCCAAGAGGTGGGTACGCGAGGGCAGAGACGAATCCGACCTCGTGGAAAATGTATTCCTTGTGCAGTGGATCGTGAAGGTATTCGGGGCTCACGACGGTCTGGTGGAGGCGCAGCGGGCGGCGAGAAAAGAGCTTGACGGGAAGCTTGATGGCAGAGAGGCGATTCAGATGCTGGATCCAGCGCGGCTGCTTTTCCCAGTTTGCTTTGGGAGAGGAGCGATCGGCCTTGGGCAATAAGTCTGCCTTTTGGGCGTTGGTGCCAACCGACATTGCCGAAGGTGCGGGGGCGTCTGGAGCGGTGGGATTACTGTGGGCCGAGTCAGTTGTTTGAGGGGGCGACTCTGTTGGAGCACCGAGTGCTGCCGGTACTGAGCCGTTGATCGGGGTTGACGCTGTGGGTGGCGGGGAGGGAGACTGGCGAAACGGCTGGACATCGTCCAAGGCGGTAGGGGTGACGGCAGACCTCACAGAGGTGCTCGCGGAGCGTGAAAAGTGTGGGTCGGCCATGTTCTGAGCGGGTGCCACAGGTACACCATCAAGTGACCAGGCGAGATCCCACCGTCGCGCTGGCAAGTGCACCGACGGCCAAGTCTAGAACAAGGTTGACGGGTGGCACGAGGAGTAGACGAAATTGTTTGGCCCGAGGCTGGAGAAATGTGAGACGGTCGGAGTCCTGTGCTAGATTCTGATTGGGCACCTGCTCTCCTGTGTGTTGACTGGAATGTCGGGATGGGAAGAAACGTTGGTGTTGCTTTCCACATGCGCTAATCCTGGCAAACCGTGCAAGCAGCAGGGTCAGATGTCACGGGGTAGCTGGGTGGCACCACGCCCTTGCAACGCAACGACCGCAGACTTGCTCCCCCTACCCAGCCCGGGTGGGCGCAGAGGGATCATCCTAGAACAGCGAGCGTCGTTCTTTCTTGGTCGCCCTTTCTTATTAATTTCCGACAAACACAAGCAGCAACGCACCAGAATAAGTGGACAAGCCAGGATGGATCGGCCGACGGGGACACGAGAACAAGGCTGATACGTAGACGCCTAACAACGATGTGCTCAATCCAAGAGGTGCCTTGGCTCAACCACGCACAAACTGCCGTAGAATTCAGTCAGGTCCAGGGCACTTGAAGACCTCAGCCGGCCAACGGAACGAGCCAACCGCACAAGCAAGCCAAGCCGTTCTGTCGACGCTCGTCGTCGGTCGTCGGTCGTCGGTCGGCGCTTGTCGGGTGTTGATGTCGTGTTGTCGTGTTGTCGTGTTGGGAAAACTCGACTGCTTTTGTTCTCTCTCTCTCTCTCTCTCTTTGTATTTGGTGGTGATGGTGATGGTGATACTGCTCGCGTAATGTGCGAGCAAAATGATGACACTCTTTTCCCGCCAAAAAAAGGTGGGGGTAGGAGGGGGTGGCGGGAGGTTTGGATGGCTCAGCTGCGGGACTAGGAATGAATGCTATTGACAGGTGAGAGCCTGTTTCGGCAGTCCTTTGATGAAGAGGGCAGGCTTCTCGTGTCAGCACCTGGCGTGCCACGATCAACGGCGAGGCCCAATCTGCTCCAAGACGAGCATATCACGTCTCCACACACCAACTGCCAGATCGGAATTCGTGTTGGAACAGGAAAGCTTGCAAACGCGCTACCACATGGAAACCGTTGCTTGGGCAGAGGGCCTTGACGGTGTCAGGTGCTACCATCTGTTGCTTGCCGGAAGGTGCTCTGCGGCCCTCGTCTGCCTTGATGTGGTCAGGCCCGTGGCCAAAGTTATCAGCAGCGAGCCATCTCTTTGCTTTACTTGTAATGCTCAAGTCCGATGCTTCCCGAGCTTTATCACGCCAAATGCTGCTGCCGCCGCTGCCGCCTCCGACCCAACCAGTCAACCAACCAATCAAAACGCAATCAGACGGTAAGCCAGTACATGTAGTATTGCCGTAAAGCGCTACCACCTGTTAGACACACGTCCGGTTTGACACTCTCTTTGTGTAGTTGTGCTATTCCCCTGTGTCTCTGCTGTTTCTTCTCTCTTTCTGTTTCTCTCTCCCCCTCTCTCTCTTTCTGCCCCTCTCTCATCTGGATCTGTCCCTCTCTCTTTCTGCCCCTCTCTCTGTCTCTGTATCTGTCCTTCGGTCTCTGTATCAGTCTCTCTCTCTCTCTCTCTCTCAAACTCTCTCTCTCTCTCAAACTCTCTCTCTCTCGCTCTCTCTCTCTCTCTCTCTCTCTCTCTCTCTCTCTCTCTCTCTCGCCTTCTCATTCATCTCGACTGCGCGACGCGGTCAACCTTGCGCGCGCGTCGGGTCGAGACGTGCCGTGGACTGCTGACTGGGTCGCATTGCTGTCACACATTCTATCGTCTCTATCACACGCACCCTCAGGTCTTGGACAAGGCTGGAGGCCCCCAACGCTGCACCCTCAACAACGACCCCATTAACACAAAAGCCCTTCCTGGTCCTTGGCTCCTGCTCTTGGCGTCAGCTCCTCGTTGCAGCGAGTGAGGGCTGTCGGAGTGCCGTCGGCGCCAGCTGAAGCAACGTCCTCAGCAGACAACACATACCTTCATCTGCCCATACCATAGGCCCTGGTGCAAGCGGTGTCGTCTCTCCATCAGACGCTGCCCCTCGATCGTGCTGGCCTGTGAGCTGCCAACATGGCGACCGCCCACCCCAAGGTGCCGGCCAACCTCGTCGTCTGTCGGCGCTATCAGCTCATGCGCCAAATTGGCAGCGGCAGCTTTGGTCAGATCTACCTTGGCGTCTCCCTGACCAGTGGCCGGGTATGTCGCTGCAGCCCTTGAAACCTTATATCGCTCGCCCTCGATCCACCCACCCCTTTGCTACCCCTCGTCATTGGGCCCGAAAGAGAGGGATGGCGAGATATGAGATATGAGAGTCCATGAGTCGTCCAATTTTGACGAGGGAAAGGGGGCCAGCAAGCTACCTCGGCACATTCCGGAGCTCGCGCTCCGCAGCACATACAATGAATGACCCGCTGGCGTGGCTTGGGTGGGAATGGACATGGGCCATGACTTCAACGCCGCGTTGCTATCCGCCCGCTTACATCGCAGCCTTTGCTCTGCTGTCTGTTCTCTGAATGTAGCGTGTGGCTGTCAAACTCGAGTCGGTGCACGCCAACTACCCGCAATTGCAGTATGAGGGCAAGCTCTATCGCCTGCTTCACGGTGGCGAAGGCATCCCGCGCGTGCGCTTTTTTGGACAACATGATGACTATTATGTTTTGGTCATGGAGCTCCTCGGGCCGAGGTCAGTGCTCACCATATCGTGCTGACCCCGTTTTCGTGACAGACCAGGTCAGACCTAGATCTGATATGCACATTCTCACACTCACCGTGCTGTCAATGCTGTGGATACTGGGTTCAGCCTGGAGGACTGCTTCAACTACTGCCAGCGCAAATTTACCCTCAAGACGGCTCTGATGCTTGCTGACCAGGTGCCTCCATTCTGGTCCTTGCTTCAACAAATTTCAGCTTGAGCGTTCAGCCCGTTGTCCCTGGCTGACACCATTGCATCGGGGCTCCCATTCTTTCATAGATGATCGAACGCTTGGAATATGTGCACACGCGCCACTTTTTGCATCGGGTAGGGTCCCCCACGTCCCGCTGTGGTCTTGCCGGTCACTTTTTTTTTTTTTTTTTCTTTCTTTCCCCTTTCCTTTTTGTTTTCCCCCAAGTTGACGCCTTGAACTCGAGTGCAGGCTCAATCGTGACTGTTACTCTTGCTATCTCGTTGATTCACTTTCATGGTTTTTTTTTTTCTCTAACTCTGTCAGGACATCAAACCCGACAACTTCTTGCTGGGCGTGGACAAGCGGGCTAGCACGGTATGTGGTCCCATGCTGCTTCACTTGGCCGGTCCATTGAGCACCTCCTGATTAGCCGTCTTTGCGTCATGCCTACAGGTCTACGTCATCGACTTTGGCTTGGCGAAGCGCTACCGTGACCCCAAGACCGGCCAACACATCGCCTACCGCACGGACAAGCAGCTCACGGGTTCGTTCCCGTCCTCAATCGCACTCGGGCTTGAAAATGTTCTTACCTTTTGCCGATGCATTCTTCTTCTGCTAATGTTGTCTTGTGGCGCTTTTGATTAGGTACCGCGCGATATGCCAGCATCAACACGCACAAGGGCGTTGAGCAGGCACGCCGAGACGACATGGAGTCGCTCGGCTACGTGCTTCTCTACTTTTTGCGCGGGTAGGTGTCCTTGAAGCGCCACTCAATCATTGTGGAGCCGCGCGTATTCACCACTCATCCCAATCTGGTCCACAGCGCGCTGCCGTGGCAAGGCATCAAGGCCAAGACCAAGAAGCAGAAATACGAAAAGATCATGGAGAAAAAGATTGCGACTCCGGTTCGTCCTGTGCAATCGGTTGTGACAAAGCACATATAAAGCAGCGTTTCAGAGCCAGTGTTGTTGCTTCCTTCCTGCCGAGTCAGACTCATAGCCATGTGCCCTCAGATCAAGGAGCTCTGCGACGGCTTTCCAAGCGAGTTTGAATCCTATCTGTCCTACTGCCGCGCACTGCACTTCGAGGAGCAACCCGAATACGACCGATTACGCGATCTGTTCCGGTCAGACTGACAATGCCTCTTGCTCATTGTTGTGTGCTTTGAAAACCAAAGAAAAGAATGGGTTGCTCAGACCTGCTGGAGGAGAGCTAACGAGGGTTTTATTTTTAATCATGCCCCACTTTGTTTTATTTTTCATTCAACTTTGCTTTGTGCCGCTTCTTCATTCTGCAGCAAGCTGTTCCAGAAGAAAGGCTACGCCATGGACGGCATCTTTGACTGGGACAAGAAGGATGATTCTGACAAGAACCAAGCTTCTCGTCGGGCTAGCGCCGGTGCTGTGGCTGGTGCCACGGCAGCTCCCGGTCCCTGAGTGCCCCTTCCCCTTGCTCGTACCAGAATGCCCACCATTTTCCTTGGCAACTCGATCAACCAATTGGCCGGCATGCTTTGCCCGCAGGCTGCTCTTCATTTGTAGTACCCCGGAGCCCATCTCACTTCGCCTCTGCCATTCTGTTCTGATCTATGGTCTCTCCGTGTTGATTGTCCCTTTTGTAATTGATGTGTTTGTGCATTTTAATCACTCGGACATGAGCCTGATGAGCCTGATGAGCCTTGGCGAGATGTGCCTTGCGTCAACAAAATCTGTGTCGTTTACATGTGCTCAAAAATTTTGTGTTTTTGTCAAGAAGAAAAAAAACCGTTTCTGACCGTTTTTCGATGAGATAAAGTGTCGACAAATCCTTGGCGCGCTTTTGCAAGTCAACAGGCAGCCACCGACATGCATTTGCTTTTTGGTCTGACGGCCATCTTGTAACGATACCCATGCGTCGCTCGCATGCGCCGTCGGCCCGGCGGCCCGGTGCAGGAGCTTTTCGAACCCCTGTGCGCTCCCAGGTGTGTGGCCGGCAATCTTCCCCTGCCATCGTCGAGCGCTCACCACCACCTCTAACACACCAATGTGCGCTTTCGCCAGCCCCTCGCGCCTGCTGCAACCCCCACGCAGGCTACAACTGAGGTCGCTACCCCTAAGACTGCAGTCAGTAAACCACCCCCCGTAGCGCTCGCAACCAAGCCGTTGCATGAACGCGCCAATGCTGGGCCCCCGCCCCTACCCAAGCGGAGCAAGTTCATGGTCCGGCCAGCCCACCCGAGCTCAAATGTTGCCACGGGTACTCCGGCCAAGGCAGCAGCCACCAGCACAAACGGTGCCGCTGACGCGGATGCGCCGACCTGGCGGCACTTTTCCTGCGTTTGGTGCAAGTATTCCCGAAAGAAGCACAAAAGCTGGCAAGGTTTGTCGACCAAGATCCATTTCAGAATGTGTTATCGCTGCCGTCGCGTTTCCGACCCTTGTTCAGATGCCGTGTCATGAGCAGAAATCGTGCCTCGTGACACACGGATGTACACGGTGTGGTTGTAGGTGATGCCGTCCTCTCCGTTAAAGGCTCCACAGTCATCCTTCAGGATCTTGAAGCAAAGGAAATCGGCAAGAGCTCAACCTTGCGGCCGGCCGACCTCGTGTCCCTCCAAGATGGCGAGACTCTCAACTTTTCCGGCAAGATTATCGAGGTACGTAGAGTCACAATTGCCAAGTTTGGTATCAGGCTGCCAAGTTTGGTATCAGGCTGCTGGTCTGCAGGCCTGGCCTTGCGGTGCCTCCGTCTTTGTTCATTGTAATCGCCCGCTTTCAATGTCTAGATCATGGGCACCATTGAACGCAAACGCTACGAGAGCGGTGCCTGCTTCCGCACCGCCTCCGTGTCTTCGGCAACCCTGACCGCACGTGTGTCATCCAGCGACATTGACTCATGATCCGAGTTGGCGTGCAAGCTTTTATGAGCCAATTGTAACGCTGCTCTCCTCTGACCATGCTGGTTGCTGCTGCCAACTCCTGCTTAGGCAAGCCAGTTATGAAGCAGAAGACGTTTAAAGCAGTCGGTCACAAGAGCAGCAATGCCGAAGCCGTGTGTTTTCAGCAGGCACTGCTTCTGCTAAATTGCTTTTCGCCGTCTCACCTATCCTGTGCCATGCTCGGGGCTTGCGGCACTCCCTGCAGAGTGTGAAGCAGCTCAAGCCCCGTTATGATCCCAATCAGCCCGGTGCCCTCGTCCTCAAGCCTCCACCGGTGCGAGTGCATTCCCATCTACACGTCTGCATTGTATGCGTATGCGCCTGCTGATCAACGTGCTGCCTCATGCCGTGTGCAGATGGCGGCCCCATCATGCGTCCCTTTGGTGGTAGACCCCCACCTGTCCACGATCCTGCGTCCCCATCAGGTAGGATGCTGATGGGTAGCATCGACGCTTACCAATCCTGAAGTCGGTGACGTGCTCACCCTTGCCTGTATCTTTCAGCGCGAAGGCGTGCGATTCGTTATTGAATGCGTAGCCGGCTGCAAGAGCGATTTGGAGGGCACCGGCTGTATTTTGGCTGATGACATGGTTCGTCTTGCTTCCAGAATTTGGTTTTCAGTCTTTACCCATTTTCAAAATATTCGCATGCATTGAGCATGGTGGCCTCTGACTTGACACCTCCCGATGACCCCTCCTTTTCCCTATTTCAAGGGTCTCGGCAAGACGCTGCAGTGTATCTCGGTAGTGTGGACCCTGCTCAAGCAGGGCTTTGACGGCAAGCCCCTTTGCCAGCGTGCGCTGATCATTTGCCCCGGCAGCTTGGTCAAGAACTGGGAAGCGGTACGCCAAACGCTGCTTTCTAAGCCACCTGCCGTGCCCGTCAGCACGTGTCAAATCCGTAACATGTGCCAACGATCATGCTGTGCCTGTCACCCCAACCTTCCGCGGTCGGCGTGTCAGGAATTTCGCAAGTGGCTCGGAGTCGAGCGCATCAAGACTTTTGCCATCTCCTCTGCCAATAAGCTCGAGCACGTCCAACAGGCAAAGGCTTTTCCGGTATCGCTCGACCCGACTCGTGCCAGCATTGGTTTGTCGAAAAAATGGGTCACTCAAATGTGATTTGCTGTGACTGACAATCTGCTGCTGCTGCTGCTGCTGTGCTTGATAGGTCGTTATTGTGTCCTACGAAATGTATTTGCGCTGCATGGACCTGCTCAAGCAAGTGCGATTCGACGTTGTCATTTGCGATGAAGCGTGAGTCGTCGAATATGCAATCAACTTGGGCGGCCGCACGTGATGATTGCAGGACACCTCAACTTTTGGTCTTGCTTCTTTCTCTCCCCCATTTTTTGTGTCTGTCATCGATGCCCATCCGTATTTGTTCGTCTCTACGCGTGGTTCAAGGCATCGTCTCAAAAATGCCAATGCCAAGACCACCCGCATTCTCTCTGGCCTCGCGACTCGGCGACGGATTGCCTTGACCGGCACGCCCGTGCAAAACGACCTGCAAGAGTTTTTTACCCTGGTCGATTTTGTCAACCCAGGCCTCTTTGGCTCCAGCGCAGTCAGTGATGCGATATCATTCCCCTGCTGCGTGTACATGTGCATGTGCAAGTGCATGCATTCGTTTGCTTTTTGGCTGTCCCTCATGATTGGTTTCTCTCGGTCTCCGTTGTGCCCGCGGCGTGCAGAAATTTAAGCGTCTATACGAAACACCCATTGTGCGAGCGCGGCAGCACGATGCGACACCGGCTGAAAAGGATCTGGGTGAAGCTCGAGCGGAAGAGCTGAATCGCACGATCCATGAGTTTGTGTTACGCCGAACAAAGGAAGTGAATGCGGCCTACCTCCCCCCCAAGACCGATTACGTTGTATTTTGCCAACCCACGCCTCTTCAGCTACAGCTATACCAGCGTCTTATCGCCACCCAGTTTGTGCGCTCATGCATGAACGCCGTGCGTGGTGGCACACGACACTTGCTCGTCATTGCAGCACTGCGCATGTTATGCAATGCCCCTAGCCTCCTTGCGGGGCGCCAGTCTGCCAGTGCCAAGAAGAAGCGGAACGGGAGTGTCGCGCCTGCCGCCCATGATGATGAGGAAGATGAGGATGATGCCGTGGCAGGTCGGCAACCCGAAGATGTGGCCGACTCGGACTTTGATCGCGTTCTCAAGGACGTGCGCCGATTGCTGCCCGGTTCAGATGACAATGACGTGGCGGCACGAACGACCTTGCTAGAGGGCAGTGGCAAGGTGGCTTTAGTGCGACACATGCTGCGTCAGTGGCGTGAGAAAACGGACGAGCGAGCGCTGCTGGTATCCAACTCAACACGCTGTCTAGACATCCTGCAATTGCTCTGTGAGGCAGAAGGCTGGCCTTTTCTGCGCCTGCAAGGCTCGACGCCCACGCACCAGCGACTTGAGATGGTCAACCGTTTCAATGCGCGTCACCACGACGACTTTGTCTTTCTGATGAGCTCCAAGGCCGGTGGTGTGGGCCTCAACATTGTGGGCGCCTCCCGCCTCGTTCTGTTTGACACCGATTGGAACCCGAGCCACGACCTGCAGGCCATGGCACGAATTTGGCGAGAGGGTCAGACCCGGCCCGTGTTCATTTACCGGCTGGTCGCCACCGGCACCATTGAGGAAAAGATTTACCAACGACAGATTGTCAAATCGGCCCTCGGGACGACTGTCATGGAGGACAAGGAGACGGAGCAGGCCTTCTCCACCAAAGATCTGAAAGAACTGTTTCAACTTCATTTGGACGTGGCTTCGGAGACGGTACAGCTGATGAGAAAGAAGAAGGACAAAATATCCTCTAGCCTGGTCAACTGGGGCGTGTATCAGCCGCCCTTTCCTCTCGATGACCTGCGAGACTCGCTCACCTTTGAAGGCGTGCCCGAGAACCTGGCCACCTGCTTGCTCGAGCACCTCAACGACGACAACACTCCGCCGGCCGAGCCGGCCATCGATGACAATGCCGATGCTGGTTGTGAAATCGACGCCCTCCTTGCCCCAACGAGCGATGAGACTGAAGATGAAATGCTGGAGCGTGCGCTCACTGACATGTAGAAACGCCTTGTACCGTATATCTCGTATCTGATCAGAATTGCATGCGAAAAAAATCAAAAATTTAAAAAAAGGTCGGAAGACTAAGATCGCAAGAACGTCCGTAATGCCGCACCATGTGTTTCCAAAGCGGATGAAACCATTCAATTGCCATCGTGCCACGCTCAGCGTAAACCGATCTCACAGCAACCGCTTGCAGCAACAAGAAAGTCTACTTCAAATGGGTCTGGTATCGAGCTGGGATCTTTATCGAGCTTAAGCCTCTGAATTGACGTGGGGATCAGGATAAGTCAGGGTCTGCAGAGCCAGGGTGTGCTCGCGGAGCACCGCCTGCCAACCGGGTCGCCGAGGTGCAACATCTTCCTGCAACCTTTGGTACATCTGCACCAGCGCCAGTGTTTGCACCCGACCCGACCATAGAGGATCGAAGAAGAAGCAGAACAAAATGAGCAAGGTTGGCGAAGGTAAAAAAAAAAAAAAAAAAAAAAAAAAAAAAAAAAAATGAGATGAAATAAGAACGACAGGATGCAGGAGAAAAGGGGGTCTGCTGTAACATGTCGAGTGGCAAAGGGGTGACAAACCTTGGAAACACGATCGGGCAATTCAGCGAGGCGTGGAGGCACGGGGAGTCGCCGTCCGTTTTGAAGGATGGCGGCTACAACATCTGCTTCGCGAACTAAATCACCGTACGGTACCTGGCCCAACGTCCATATTTCATACAACAAAACACCAAAAGACCACGCATCGCTGGCCAATGTGAACAGGCTTTGTGCCAACACTTCCGGTGGCTGCCACCGTGCTGCCGTCTCGATCAAACTAGCTTGGCGATAATACTCATCTGGACTCGACTCCTGCACCGTTGAAACGGTACTGCCGAGTCCCGAGCTCTGTTGGTTAATGGAGGGTGTTGAATCACGCCCCACCAGCCGTGCGTGCCCAAAGTCGCCCAAAGCAGCCTGTTGAACGGCGGCGAGGACGTGAATGTGACAGACAAACACCCAGAGTCCAGCATTGTCACGAGCACATGCTGACCTGCAAGCCATGGTCGCTGACAGAGCGCACAAGAATGTTGCGCGCAGCCACGTCGCGATGTATCATCCCCAAGTGACTCTGCCAAAAAGCATATCCATTGAGTTTAGCACCAATCAAAACACGGAGCACTCAAGAGTGGAAGCCATGGGAAATGCTGCGGATGACACTGTCTGGACTCATTCATACCAGGTACTGTAGGGCGCGTGCGGTTTGCAGCGAGGCCTGCAGCAGATGCCTTGGGCTCAGGCTAGAGGTAGCTCGTGAGCCTCGTAAGACTTGGAGCAGATTGCCCCCTGGGATTAGGCAGGACAAGGCGATATCAGAACGCTTGCCCAGCAGCATTCAGCAAGGCTCGCAGGCCTTTTTTGGTGTATGTGGCTCGTTGCTCAGGGCTCGGCCCTGACTTCACAGCTGGTGCGGAAAAAGAGGCGCGCACCTGCACAATATTCGAGACAGAGCATCAAGCCCAAATCTCCGTTGCGCAGAAATCCTTTGAGCCCCACGACGTTGGGACTTTGAGCCAACATGAGCATGGTTGTCTACAAATCGTGTTTTTGTTCGGGAGATCGCATGAACAATACCAAACAGGATGCTTGAGCACACACTCTCCACACACATAGAGGAAGGGCAATTTTGAAGCCCCAGACACACACAGACCTCCAGCAAGATGGCAGCCTGAGAAAGCCCAGTAGCCTGGCATTTGGCAACAATGTCTTCATGCGTAGCACAGATAAGGCCTCTGCGCACTATACCAAAGTTGCCACGGTGAAGCGTCGGGCCATCAACCACGACACTTGCAGCATCCAGTTCATACGCCTGTGTATCGGCACCATCCGTTTCCCACAAACAAGAGCATGTGACAAGCGTCCCGAACAAAGCAGGCCGAAACGGTGAGTCGAGGACGAGAAGGCGTACCTGCAACTTGGCCAGCACGTCTGTGTGATTTCCGTCAGCGGCTCCGCTTGCTCTCAAAGCTTGCATCAAGCTAAGTCCATGGCGTCCAAAAAAACGGGTGGCCATCCAAGAATTCAATGAGAACTGCAGCTTGATCCGAGGCACCTGGCCCCGTTTTGGTAAAGTCACATCGACCGCAGGTATTGGGACTCGGGAAAAAGCAGGCGGGTGGTGATAGCCGAGACAACAGGATTGAGACGGCTCACCGCGCCTCAAGAAGATCGTTGCTTTGCTCGCCGAGTTGCTGCGTCAATAAACTGCAGACATTTCAGATATTCGATGAGACCCATACAGATATGACCATGTTATTGTCAGACATGTCATTGTCAAGATGAGGAGGGTCTCGGCCGCACAGGTTTGTAGTTTATCGAGCCGAAAGCATGCGTGAAGGGAAGAGCGTCGACCGGGCTGGAGCACAGAGACAAGCATGAAAACGAACCGACGCTGAAGCCGCCGGCGTCGCTCATAGATCAGACCTAGAATGAGCGCACATAAACCCACGACGATGGGTAGGATGACGGCCAGGGAGAGGAGATTGCTGCCCGAGCTACTTTGTACCGCTATGCGGGCGGTCGTAGCGGGCATGAGGGTGCTGAAGGCGGTGCTTGGAAATGGCAGTTGGAGATTATCCAGCTTCAGATCGATGCCAATTTCGTGGCCAAACGCGGTGCCGTTGGCAAGGAGCCGATGCCGAGTTAGGTAGAAATCAACCACGGCCTGCGCAACAGCAATGTAAGGACCCCGCCACTGCGGAACGTTGTCGTCGATCAACACAAAGACGTCAGCCACAAACACCGTGTACGGGAGGTGGGAAACATAGAGACAGGGGTAGACGGCCATCTCATCAAGAGGCCGTCCGAAGAAAACACCGTAACGCCAGCTGGCATGGAAGCGGCTTCCCGTGCAGTCATCAAGCACGTCAATGCCTGTTGTGTCCCATAGCTGCTCACACTGTTGCTCATCCGAGGCGTCGGCACAGTCAACGTGACCATCGCAGAGCTGATGGAAAGGTAAGCTTGTTGGCTCTTGTCCGTGAGCAGCGGCGCAAGGCCAGTGCGAGGCATGGCTAACCACGTGGCAGTCTTGGGCAAAGGCCGGAGTACTGGAGGCGGCGGTTGTGTTTGATGTGACAACAGAGGTTGTCGCCCCGACAACGGTGGTGGAGGTGGATAATGCTTCGGTGGTGGCTCTGGTTGAAGCGGCGGGTGGTCCTGGAAGAAGGGCATGGCAGCCGGGGACTGGTCCGCAGGCCGAAGGGAGTCGTATGGAGGTGCAGTCGGCGTGCATGGGGGCAAGCAAAAGGTCGGTACGGATGGTTTGAAGCGGGTTGGAGCTGAGGTCCAGAGTTTGCAGATTTTGGAGCATGGGAAGGTCGCGAGGGGTGACAACGGTAAGCCGATTGGAGCTAAGATTGAGATGGCTGAGTCGCATCAAGTAGGAGAACGCGCCGACGCCCAGCTCTGTAATTCGATTGTTGCTGACGTCAAAGCTGGTCAAATTGGCCAAGCCGTATGTATCTACAAAGGCAATGTCCATGACACGATGATGGCGGACGCGTAGATGCTCCAAGTCAGCAGGGGCACCGCCATACGGAAGGGAAGTGAGCTTTTGTAAGCGCGGCAGACCAGAACCGTCGCAATCCAGGCTGGGACGATTTGAGGCCGCCGACCAGGAAACAACGCAGTTGACGGCCGAGAAATAATCAGACATGACGCCACTTGGGTCGAGATAGAAACGGTTATCACGAGCACAAGTAAACTTGGTCCAATAAACGTTCTCTCTGCAAGAGTCGGTCAGATTCGATGTGGGCCTGAGCACGCAAGTCGCGCCCACGGGGATGTAGCGATTGAAGAGCATGGGCTTGTCGCAGTCAAAGCAGAGGAAGCCAAAGCCATCCGCGGGGTCGATAAGATGTTTGGGACAGCCCGGCATGTCGATCTGGGCAGCGAGTGGCCAACAAAGGAGCACCAAGGTGATGCACAGCAGGCCCCAGCCTGGCAGCCTCGATGCCCAGGGACGGTTGCTCATGGTGAGAAAAATGTCGAATGGCTGAACGAGGCCGCTCGTGAGGGAGACAAGCAAAAGGCCATCCAGGTCGCGGGCCAAACCCCTTGTCCAGCCCCACCGTCAACCTCGTTGCAGGACAGGGCAGGGGCAGAGCCAGGCAGGTCGGGTCACATGCTCAAAGCCATCGAAATACGTGTACTAATCCAATGCTCATGGACAAAAACTGGAAACCGTCTCTCTCTCTCTCTCTCTCTCTCTCTCTGTTGTGCTTTTCCTTTGTGTCTTTGCTCTTTATTTCTCTCTCTCTCCTTCTCTACATGTGGTAGTTGTGCTACATGGATTCCCACCTTTACCAATTCGCTCTCTCTCTCAAGTGTCTTCTCTCTCTCTCACATACACACACACACGTACATGTACACCAATCCGTCGACCCTACCGACCGGAAGACAAGATCTTGTTTAGGTCCCCTGACTGGTGTCGGGGGTGGTGGCTGTTTCGGCCAACAAACAATGCGGGTGCCAAGTGAATTGGTGCAGTGTCTTTTGAAGTTATTGCAGAAGTCAACACCCTGACAATGTAAAATTACGTCGTTGTTTTTCAGAAACGTGTAAGTGAATGTCAGATGTTATTCCATCCCTTTCCAGCAGAGAGTGGGAGAGAGTAGCGAGATGCTGCTTGTGGCCATTTGCCTCACTCTTGTTCCTCCCAGTGTACTTTGCACGCTGCTGTCGGCCTGCTTGGGGCACACACGGGATCATTTGGACTGCCCCTTGCTGCTGCTGCTGCTGCTGCTTGCTGCTTGCTGCTTGCTGCTTGCTGCTTGCTGCTAGATGGAGGCACGGAAGAAATAGCTAGGAGGCAGACGGTTAAGAATTGGCCGCTTGGCAGACTATTTCGCGCAGTGTGCTGGCCGTTGGCACTTCTGACTAGCCCTCAGGGTGTTGTCGGGATTAGACACGGCCTCATCCTCCCATGGCGACGCGCTATGCGGCCTATACGGCTGGTCGCCAGCATCAGTTGCCCGCCTCGGGGGCACTGAGTGGCGTTGGAGACGAGTCCAATCCAGAGCAGGAGGCGCTCGAGGCCAAGCTGCACGCGGCTCGCAGCCTTCAATGTGATGTTGTGACACCGCAGCTGGCAGTACTCCTGGCTCAGGAACTTCTCGTCGATCTTGAGCCCGTCAAACCTCCCGTCACCACCAAGCAGAAGCCTCCCTCCGCAGCAGCAGCCTCCCCGCGCCCTTCACGCCGTGCTTCTCGTGCCCAGCTCCCCCCGCGTCCGCCTGCCGTCAATCTGCCCTCCCGTCACACGCTCACCAGCATTGCAACGGTGAGCTCCTTGACCGTTAGGATCCCGGCCCAGCTCGTTCTCGGTGTTGCTCACTTTTTCCACATTCCACTTATCAGTATTGGTTTTACCCATCTTACCACGACCATTCCCATGACTTGTAATTGGCATGCGAAATCCCTAGTTATTTGACATCCCCGCCACGGGCCAGTCCTGGCTTGCCCTGGCCCTTCGGATTCGTGACGAGTGCGCCCGACGCCGTGGGCCAGCTGCAAGCGAACGCCTACTGCGCCAATTGCATCGCTACGAGCTTCACCGCTGTTTGCACCTTCTCCAGCTCGCCATGACCATTTTCATATCTCGCCACCACCAGCTTGCACAACGCCAGAAACATGAGCAAGCCATGGCCGCCGCACACCACCTCACGCCTACGACTCCGCGACTCCGTCGGCGCAGCCTCTTGGGCATCAACCGCGATCGCAGTCGGTCCCCCTCCCCGTCACCCTCGCCATCACCTTCAGCTTCTCCAGCTGCATCCCCTCGCCCTGGTCGCCGGCGCTCCAGTCTCTTCCTGGGTGCTGCAACTCTGGGGCAGCCAGAGCCGAATCCCGAGCTTGAAGAGGATTTTGAAGCCGACCTCATCGAACGCCTACTCGACGCAGCGACCAAGCTTGCACGCACTGCTTGGCACGCCTGCTGGGCCAACGACGAAGCGGCCTCCGCTCTCCTGGCGCTCCGTGCTGGTCTTAGCACCCAACTCTGCGCGCCACCAGCCATTGCCGCCGAGGCAACGGCATGGTTGACGAGTGCAGCCCAAGCTCTACCCGCCCTGCACGCCCGTCAGCAGCAACGACTTCCCCAGCACGTACTGGATGAGGTGGCAGCCGCCGATGAGGATGCGGCCTTCGAGTTGGCGCGCTTGGCCCGAGAACACCAACAAGCATTGCTGACTTCGATTGGACACCTGGCCGCCCAGCTCGTGACCATGTACGCTGACGTCCTTGGACTAACGCCCGCAGGCGCACAGGCACTGGTTGCTCTTCACAGCACCCTGGCCGTTCCCCGCGTCGTGCTCAATGAGGATCAGCCCCCCGTGCATAGCCTAGCCACGGGCCGTGATGTCTTTGCCGTGGGCCTGGCCAACGGCGACCTGCGTTTGTTTCAGGTGGCGGGTCAGCGCTGCTTGGGTTTGCATGCCTGGCGTGCCCACGATACGACGGTGTCGGCGCTTGCCCTGCACGTACCGCCGCACAGCCACCGCTGGCACGTCTTTTCAGGCAGTCGCGATCATCACGTGCGCGTTTGGGACTTTGACAGCGAACGCGGCCAGGCGCAGCTCTTGCAGACACTAGTGGGCCACTTTGGCTGGATTCGATGTTTGGCCTACTGCGAGGGTTACCTGATCAGCGGCGCCGGTGACGAGACGGTGCGATTGTGGCGGCCCGGAAACCGCAGCACCACCTCGCTGAGCACGGTCAAGTGTCACGAACACTGGGTGACCCGTCTCGTTTTTTGGTCTCCCACCCGCATCGTGAGCATTGGGGCCGATGGCTGTTTGGCTTTGTTGGAACGCCGCGAGGCACAGCTGCATTTATATGCCCGCTTTGAGCTAGGTCGCGGTCGCCTGAACGATGCTGATTGGCTCACTTCCAGTCTTGGTCACTTTGCCGTGGTAGCCAGCTCAGACGGCTCGGTGTCTGCCTGGCGCCTAGAGTGGGCGACCAAGTCGTGTGAGTTGAGCTCCGTCTGGGACCATGGCCGCCCCAACGAGCCCGTTCCACGTTGCATGGCCGTGGCTACTACTTCGGCTCGCATCGTGTCGGTTGCTGAGGATGGCGATGTGCTCATGAAGAGCATCGTGGTCCATGAAGATCATGGTCTCCGCCGCTGGACCTGTGACGTCACTGCTGATGCCCCGCTTTGCGCCATGCTCGGCACGCGCATCCTCATCTCGGGCCAGCGCCTGCTGCTTTACTAACGCTCGGCTCAACAGGCGACGTCCTACCTGACTCATGCGTGTGTCAAGGAGTACCACTTGTGTCTCCAAATTTGATTGCAATTCAGTTTTTCTGCTTTGCATTAATTTAGGCTTGAATAGGCTCGTGTGTCTTGTATTTTTTGGTTTTTTCGGGCGGGTGGGGCATCTGTTGGGGGGGTGGGGGCGGCTTCTCAGTGTTTCATGTGTTTGACGTGCTCAGAACCCCCCGTTCCCCCGAATGGAATCAATTGAAGGAAGCGAATACCGAGCCCAAAATACCCCAGACTGTTTATGCTTCCACAACAGTGCGCGCGAAAATAGTAACGTTCAGAATGAATATTGTTGCAAAAGGGAATTTGGCCTCAAATGTTCCTATGAATTCTTGAAAACTGATTCACATGCTGATGTAGATGATGAAGCGGCCAAGGGCGAGCGCGAACCTTGAGCATCGGCAGCAGTGATATGAGATGTTGATACCGGCGCACCGAGCTAACAGCAATCCGACGTCAATCAGCCACCAAAACTCTTTACCATACATGATCATTGATAATTTTTAAAATCTAAAGAAAATACAGGAGAAACCAGCGCAGACAAGCCAGCACCTCGAGATGGCTTGAGATGCGAAATGTTTTTTTCCATGATTCAGACAGTAGTGAGAAAATTTTCCCACTGCTTCAGACGATTCAAATTCAGCGATAGCCTCCAAACGCCTAAATGCCTTGGCATGATGGCGATGCCAGTCAGTCTTCCGGTCCTTATGAGACGTTATGACTCCATTACGAAGTGCCTTACTCTGCCAAGGACGTATCAAAAGAAAGGTATCAGATCCTGTTTTGGTGTCGCAACAGCGTCAATTATCTGCCTTAACATGGAATGTTGAGGCATGGGATCGTGGAAACGAGTCGGGCCCGTTCAGGTCCAAGCGCAGAATGGATGGAGTTTGTAACCCAGCATGAAACAAAGGTCGAACCGGCTGCATCCCAGCGGGGTACACAGCAGCAGCCATGTTCGGCAACAACATGCTAAATCAGCCCACGAACCAGCAATGAGCTGTTTCGTTCGTGAGCGTCACAAAGGGGGGCAAGCACCCAACCAAACCAGCCATGGCTCAACGGGGTCTAGTTATGCGCGGCAAAATCTGGAACGAAGACATGCAGCCGCAAGGACAAGGTGAAGGAGAATTACGGATCGATGAGCTGATCTAGCTCGGTCCATGAAGGCAAGCGATTTTGCTCCAGCTTGGACCAGGCCAGCCGACCTACGCAGGCGGCGAGTCGACAAGCATCCACGACTCGTGAGTTCCCTCACTCGCACCATAAAACGAATGAGAGGTGTGTGCGTGTGCGCGCGCAAACGGGGTGTCATGCCCTCACGAACCATCCACATAAATCTCAAATGCGCCCGTGGTTAAAAGATTCTGAGCCACGGTGCTGCCCACAAAGAAGAGAACGGCAAAGGCCGTAATCTACCAACCGAGAGCAACAACCACGTGAGCCTTGACGCGCCACCGATCTCTGCTGTATGGCTCGGTAAAACTGGCATAGGAGATCCCGAGGGGGCAAAGATGGGCCACACAAGTTCCGGCTGTGGTCATTGGAGGCAAGGTTGGGACGGCCACCTCCCAGTGGTTGATGTCGCCGTGGCCGGACCGTACCTTGTTGGCCTTGAGCGTCTCGTAGAACTCGGGCGGCCGCATGTTGAGCTGGGCAAAGAGCCAGTCACCAATGAACAAGAGGCCAAAGCCCAGCCACATGCCGAGCTGCAAAAACTGCGCCAGACTCTGTCGCCAGGCAGGCGGCTCGGCGTTGGCGCCCTGAATTGTCAAGTGGGGATGGCGAGCCTGCCAAGCAAACGACCCAAAGTGAGGTACTGACAGTCAAAGGCCATGCGCTGTCAACGCCACCAGTTCTCGAAGTACAGGATGAGCAAACCTTTAGGTGCTGTGCAATTTGCCTAAAGGCGTTGGCGTAGCCTCACGAGGTACTATGTTCAGAATGCAGCACAACGGGTGCGCGACCGTGAGATGCACGAGGAGCGCTTGCTCACGCCGCTCGCACCATGCCAGGCTGGCTCAGACTCACCAAAACTCAATGAGGACATCACTGCCCGGGACAGCTTCAGCACATGGAGCCAGCAAGACCATGCCAAGCAGGGCCGCGGCCATGACGAGCAGGGACAGGCCTCCGAGGCGCTGCCGGGCACGCCCGAACAGCCCAGTTGTGACGGTGACGCGCGCCATGGCAAGAAGCAAATTGCAGTAGACGAATAGAGTGAGCATATGTATTCCTGTGTCATCCTGTGCACGACGATATCATTTTTGAGCATCTTTTGCATTTTAAACAATTCACGTTTCCGCAGCCAGAGGAGAGAGAGAGGGTGTGCTTCTTCTTTCCTGGTGGGCCAACGACCACACCCATGCCTCTCCGTTAAGCTTGCCACCTTACTCACCCAACCACACACACACCCTTCGCCCGCTCCCCCAACCCGGCTCGTCCTCCCCCTTTCCTATGGAAGCGGGCGGAGACCCTGGCTGGTGGATCAGCGACTTGAAGCCGCCTGAGCTCATCATTGCTCGTCCCTTGTGCCTCGTGTCGTTGGGTTTGGGCGGAAAGATGGTCCAGGTCGGTCCGCCCTTCAGACCTTCTTGACCCCACCCTTGTCGTCCACAACCTCAATCAGGAGGGAGCGCTTACCTTAGGATATGGTTGCTAGCATGGAAGCAGGAAGAAGTTCGGTGGGGCACACACTCGTGACTGATCCGATCGCTGGTCGGTACCGGGCATTTTTTTTCCTGTTGGCTCATCCAAAAAGACCTTGTTCATCAGATTCTTGTGTGCCCACTGCCCTGTTAAACCGTCGTCATGGTCAGCGCTGCCATTCGTTCTGCCCTAAAAGGTACGAGTAAAGCTGCCCTTTTCATCTGCATCAGTCCCATCTGTCACTGACATGACTGACATCCACTGGCTTTCGCTCACATTGATCGCTTGTTGTGTTTCAGTGGGTGCTGGTGTGGCTGCCGGTGCCGTTGCCTTTGGCGCCACAGCCACGACTGAGGATAAGTCTGGTGCTTTGCTTCAGGTGAGTTGTGTCTCTGTGCCCTCTCGCCACCTCTCCTGGTCTGCTCCTGATCGTGGTGGTGGCCTCTGCCATTGTCGAGGCTCTCTCTGCCAGTGGCATCAGCTGACCTTGACAACGAGAGCACGACACGATCTGGCCTCACTTTGACACCGGCGCGCTTGCTCATTGCTTTAGGACATTGTCGATCGTGTCAAGCGTATCGAGCGCCAACTGGGTGTCAAGACTGGTGGTGCCAAGGAGGTAAGAGTTGAGCATCTAGGCGGCTGCCGTTGATGAACATAAGAATAATATTATTCTTCAAATTTGTTTTTGTGTTGTGCGTATTTTGTTGTGCGATTGATTTTGCTGATTTGCTTGACATGCATAGGAGAAGTATGGCGCTGGTTTTCCCTACTTTCCCAAGGGCTGCACGTCCTTGCTTTCCAAGCATCTGACCGTTGACGTCTACGAGCAGCTCAAGGACAAGATTACGCCCAACGGCTTCACTCTTGAGCGTGCCATCCAGTCAGGCGTGGACAATCCCGATTCCGGTGTGTCCTCAGCGCCGCGTTGCACCCTGCCGCGGGGAATGTCGTGGTTTCCTCACCCCACACTTGTCACCGGACCCTCCTCCCTTGTTCCTACCGACTAGGCGTGGGCCTATATGCTGGTGACGAAGAGTGCTACTCGGTCTTCGGCCCGCTGTTCGACGCGGTTATCGAGGACTATCACGGCGGCTACAAGCCCTCAGACAAGCACGTGTCGGACCTTGACGCCGCCAAGCTCAAGGGCACCGTTGACCCCGAAGGCAAATACGTGCTCTCGACTCGCATCCGTGTGGGCCGCAACATTCGTGGTCTCGGTCTCTCCCCTGGCTGTTCGCGTGCTCAGCGCCGTGAGGTCGAGTCACTCGTCACCAAGGGTCTCGCCAATCTCAAGGGCGACCTGGCTGGCAAGTACTTCCCTCTCAACGGCATGAGCGAGGCGGACCGCAAGCAGCTGGTGGCTGACCACTTCCTCTTCAAGAAGGGCGACCGCTTCCTGGAGTCGGCTGGTGCCAACCGCGACTGGCCAGAGGGCCGTGGCATCTTCCACAACAACGAGAAGACCTTCCTCGTCTGGGTCAACGAGGAGGATCAAATGCGTATCATTTCCATGCAAAGCGGCGGTGACGCCAAGCAGGTCTTTGAACGCCTGGTGCGCGGTATCAGTGCCATTGAGGAGCAAGTCAAGGCAGCGGGCCGTGAGTTTGCCCACAACGATCATCTCGGCTACATCCATAGCTGCCCCACCAACTGCGGTACTGGCATGCGTGCCTCCGTGCACGTGCAGCTTCCCAAGGTCGGCGCCCACCCCAACTTTAAGAAGTGGTGCGCCAAGCTTCGCCTCCAGCCCCGTGGCATTCACGGTGAGCACAGCGAGAGTGACGGCGGTGTTTACGATCTCTCCAACAAGGAGCGTCTCGGCAAGTCGGAGGTGCAGCTCGTGCAGACCATGATCGATGGTGTCAACACCTTGATTGCTGCCGAGAAGGCCCTGGCCGAGGGCAAGCCTCTGCCTTCGGAGCTGCAGTAAACATTGGACCTTTCGTCGCCCTCGGGCTTAATGATTTAGCCCTTTGGCCTTCCTTTCCGAAGGCCCAGTCCTTGCGCGAACACGCGAGGGTTTAAGCAAAACACTACAATAGTACACACTACCCTACCTGCCTTGCTACGCCTTCGAGCTGTGCGCATGGCTTTTGAATGCTCTCCTTTTTCCTTTTGATTGGCTTTTCTGCGCTCACTACTAGTGCTTTTCCTTCTGCTTGTCGTTTTTTCTGTGTGCGCTCTGAGCGACCTCAAATTCAAAACAGCTTTTTTCTGATTCGTTTGTTGTCGTAATCAGCCGAACACTTTCTTTAATTTTGAATCAACATTCCCATAAATTAACTTGCAAACACGCGGAGAGGAGAGAGAGAGACACACACACACACACACACGTGTGTGTGGTATTTCTTTCTTCACTCGCAACACCGCGTCGTTCTTCCCGACTGGCAGTGCGCGCAGAGGGGAGCGGGGGCTGACGTGTGCTACTCCTGTCTTTGGCACGAGTAGGCAGCTACGTAGTGGTTCCTGGGCTTGAGCTTGCCTGATCATTATCATGACTTCGATTGCAGCCCAGTTGAAGGGCCACCAGTTTGCGCTGGGTCGGCCCACAGCCGAGACTGCGGATGGAGCGCCGCTGGCCAAATCGACGACCCCGACGCTGCTCTTTGACAAGGATGAGGCAGCTGGCATTGAAGTTGAGCGCATTTGCGCGCTGGGCGAGAATGGATTTGAGGCTCTGCTTCAGGAGGATGCTGCCCTGGCTAGCTTCAGAACGCTCTTCGGCGCGGCCGCCCTCGAGGTGTCGCGTAGCATGAACACAAAGGCCGACAACGCCCGCCTGGATGAGCGCTTGAATCAGTTTCTTCTCAACGTGGGGCCCCATCTCATGCACCCAGGCTGCGCCAAGGCCTTGGAATGGCTTGTGCGCCATTATCAGGTCCACGTGTACAACGTGCCTGCCTTCCTTTCTGCTGCGCTTCCTTATCACGGCACCAAGTTTTTCGCACGTATCGTGGCCCTGCTTGACCTGACCCGCTTCAACACCTTTCGCTGGCTTGAGGCGGTTCGACGCACGGGCCAGCCCATTGATCGTGCCACCATAACCAAGCGTGCTGTACGCGCTTCGGCCGTTCTGGAGTTTATTTGCCAACTCCCTCGGCGTGCCGTCAAGGCCGGCGTAACTGATCGCCGCCTATCCATCTACCTGGCCCTCACGACATCCATCGCCACGGCCGTCATGGCAGGCAAAATGGACGACGCCACCCTTACCACCATCCTTCCCTATCTCATGTTTTGCCTCAAGTCAAAGTTTCATGCCTGCCATCAAGCCGGCATCATGTGTCTCACCCAGCTGTTTGCCACCGTCCCCCTGGAGAGCATCACCCTCAATGCTTTGCTTCCACACCTGCAGTAGGTCCTTTGTGGCGGCTTGTCTGGGCATGGTCTCGCACCAGTGGCCTGCGTTCAAAGACGCAGTGTCACCTTTCTGCTTGTCAATCCCTACTCTCCACGCATAATAATGGCTCACCCTCCGCTGCTCGTCACTTGTCCCTCCCTTCCAGACAACGCTTGTTGGCCCCCGAGACCATGGCACCTGGTTTGCATTGTTTGGTGGTCGCTCTGCGTCACCAAGACATGAAGGGTTGCCATCGTGCCCTTGATGCCATGCTACCCATCATTTTCAACGCAGAGGGCGTGACCATCTTGTCCTCTCTCGGTCAAACGTACGTGTCAAATGCGGGGAACTCGCACTTTTTTTTTTTTTGATTATCTTTGCACGTACGATTGGCTTGGCAAGCAGTCTGCGCGTTCACCACATCCCTTTCTTTCTATTCTGGCCATTCAGGTATGATCTTGATGTGCCCCTTCAAAAGCTGCTTCGCGTCTTGGTCCTGTCCGATGCACCTGCGACTGTCTTTGTCGGTGCCGCTCAAGCTTTGCAATCTTCAGGGTGCTCCGCTGCCACCGTACGTCGTGTCGCACGCCCTCAGGGCGCCTGTCCATAGCTGCAGAGAATGCAGTTATCCGTGCCATCACTCCAGCTCATTGAGCCTCTCACAATTTTGTTTTGCTGCACGCTTCCCTTCCTTTTTTCGTCGACAGTGTGCATCGTTGGCTGCACTCATTTGCGATCAGTTGCTGCGTGCCGACTTGGATGATGGCACGCATCGCCACATGGCCTTGGCCAATGTTCTCGAGAGCCAGCATCCTACGGTATGTTTGTGCGTTGGACCGGCGCCGGTTACAATCTACTCGGAAACTTTGCCAATTAGACAACGGCACCCACAGCTTTTGAAAATGAATCATCCTCATCACCATCACCGTCGTCTACGCACCGACTAGGTTTTCGATAAGTTGCTTTCGGCACGCCTTGAGGCTAGTCACGACGCTGCTGATAAGCAGCGTGTCTTGCACGCTCTCTCAACCGGCTTGCAGTCCCTCCGGCATCTTGCGACCGGTGAGGGCTCCAATGAGGACGCTCTCTTCATGACTATCAAGGTGGGGTTGTCAATTTTCTTTGCTTCACATGCTTTGAATGCGAGCCATCGCCTTTGTCGAGGCATTGCTTGGGGCGCCTGCGCTGACATATTCTGGCTTCTGATGTCTTTAGCACCCCAACGAGCAGCTTCGCCTGGTGGCTCTAAACAAGTTGCTTGATGGCATTCAGAAGAGCGACAGCAACCTTTCTGCGAGCGATCGTGGCTTCGTTCGCAACTGCCTGATTGATTGCCTTTTCGACGAGAGCACGGTTGTGGTTGATCGGTGAGTTGAGATAGATTTCTCCTCGCATGCCCTCGTCGTGTCATGCATGCTCACAAAGCCATGACCATGATCGATGGACCTGATAGCATTCTGGAAAAGCCAAAACTGCTTGTCAAGTTTGTGGAGCTACCGCTCCTCAGCCGAGCGCTGTTCAAGCTTCTGCGGCGCACTGTAGCTGAGGTGCGCACGACTGATCGTGCTTTGCATGTTGATATTTTCCCTCTCGTTTCTTTCCCACAGCGAGGGGGACGTGGAGGGCGTGCTTGATTATGCTCACCTGGATCCGCTTGCCCTTGTCCCTATCGATCGGGTCATCTCATAGGGGAGCACCAAGACTTCAGCCGCCCTTGTGCATGCTCTGGTAGCACATGTTCTTCCCAAGACGCATACCCCCAATCAAAGTCTCTTGGAGCAGCCACTGCTCGTACACATGTTGCGCAGTCTGCTTCCAATGTGCTTTATCAACGCATCACGGTACGGGCCACTCTTTCACACACACGCATACACACACACGCATACACACACACACACACACACACACACACACACACACACACACACACACACACACAACACACACACACACACACACACACACACACACACACACACACACACACACACACACACACACACACACACACACACACAAAGGCCCCGTTGAGATTCGTCGAGATGCGTTTTGGCCCGCTTCCAACCATCGTGACCATCTCATCAGCTCTCATGTATCCTGCCCTTCTGGTTCACTCAGCCGCAAAGCCACACGCTCAGCAGCCAAGCGCATTGCCGCGCAACCTGCTTTTTTCCAGCTCCCCCTGACGGCAAGCCTGCACAAAGTGATGACCGGCAAAGGAGCTCTTGACTCTGATGATAACTCGGACGCCTGGGCTTCCTACAACGATTCTCTGGTGTCAGCCCTTTTTGATGGGATCGTCGCGCAAGCCAAGGCCGAGAACAAGACCGTTTTGGGCATCGTCCAAACACTTTGCCCCATTCCTAGTCCGCCCAAGCTTGGTCACCCAGCTCGCGTGTACCACGATGACCTGGCTGTCTTGATGATTGTCTCCGCTGCTATTGCCACGGCCGTTAAGGTATGCAGTTTAATCCGTAATCTTTGAACTGACACCCGCTTCAATCATTGAATAGCACTGTCGAGTTGCTGTTTAAGGACCATTCACACCTCGACCCGCGCCTTCATGGTGTGTTGTGGGCTCTACCTTGTTCTCCCGCTTAGTCTGCTACCTGCCCTGAGGCCGAGATTCAAATGTTGGTTCAGTGGTGCTGTCAAGCAGCCTCAGCCATGCAAACCCGACCCGCTTCTTGGCGGGAAAATGCCGGCTTGCCCCCGCGCACGAATTTCTCATCGTTTGGCTCAGCAGTACGTTCGAGATGAATGTATTCCCCTTGTTTTGCTTTGGGGGAAAACAGACTCGACCCGGGCAGTTATTCCAAGGGGGGGGGGAGAGAAGTGGAAAACGACCATGAAAGCTGACAATGAGTTTGCTCCTGTTGCCCGCTCATGCCGTAATAGCTTTATCAGATGATTGGAGATATTGTCCGCCGCCCTAGTCGCCGTGATGCCCCTCAGTTTGAAGACCGAGGACAATTCAGTTGCACCACTTTTGTGACTATTGAGTCCTATGGCCAGTACAGTGGATTTGCCGCTCTGCTTTTGCAAACGTCAGCCACGGCGGTGACCTCCTTGGAAACGGCAGCAACGCTTTTTACCAATGCCGTGAGCAACGGCGTGGTAGCCCACAATGCTGTTGCCCTGCACACTCTCACGTCCAACGGGGACCTGTTTCTCAAGTTTGTTTCTTGCCACACGGAAATCTGCCTTGTTCGATTTCAGTTTCAAGTCTGCTCGCCGTGCAGTGCTCACAGACAGCGCGTGTGCACTCGACTCGCTCGCTGTCGTACCTAGGACGTTGGTGCATGTATTGGTGAGCGAAGAACACAGCACGCAGCGCGCCGCGGCTGCTTTGGGACTTGCGCAGAGTGAGCGCGTGCTTGCTGCCACCGACGCAACTGATCTGGTCTATGCTGGTCTGCTGGTTGCCTTGACGGACAAGGCTCGGCATGTGCGGGTTTCTGCCGCGGCGGCCATTCAGCGCCTTGGCAAAAATACACAGGCAAGCTGTCACACGTTGGCCCAACTCATTCAGATTCTGGTGCAGGACCACGAGGTTGAGGTCAGCCAGGACCGCGAGGCGGCGTGCCGCATTGTCCGTGATGTCCTGCAGAGCGCCGCACATAAGCGTGCCAAGAGTGGTGAAGTCTCGGCGGCGGCCGGCGAGATTGTCCGCCATCTCTACTCTACTGCATTGCTGTCACCCACCGCCCACAATTTGGAGGCAGTGCACTTCGTGCTTGGGCTGACTTCGCTGGCCGCCCACGGCACATTTGTGGCTGAGCAGGTGGCTGAATTGGCTCCTGCCTTTGATGGGCAACCCGCGATGCTGCATGCTCTGGCCAGCCTCTTGAGCGCCGTGGACGTTGCAACGGCGCGCGAGCTGGAGGAAGAACACGCGCAGCACCTCGTGAGCCTCGTCAAATTGGGTACCCACACGGCAGACCATCCAGTGGCACGCGCTGTGCTTGAGCGTTTCGCCGCACCGGGCCTCTTTGTGGCCTGCCCCAACGCCGTGCAAGCTAGTCTGCTCTTTGCTCTGACCGATGCCCTCAACCAGAAGACGTACATGGCGCGCGAACTGGTTGTTGCTTGCCTCGCCACCATTGTTTTGGATGCTGGCATTGTGGAGCTTGAGCTCAAGCGCCAGCTGACCGCCAAAGCGCCCGAAACTGCCGAAGACGGCGCACGGACCCCCAAGCGCCGGGCTAAGCGACGCAAATCGGCGCCCGGTGAATCAGCGCCAGAGGCCGGGTCAAGCCTGGGTCACGCCAGCACGCAAGAGGCCATCCAGTATGGTCTCTTGCACCTGGCACCGCTTGTGGATGTGCTTTACACCAAGGAGCTGGTTCAACTGCCCAACTTTGAGAACCTGATCCCGGCCTTCTTCGACCTGCTCATGTTGTACGCCAGCCGTGACAGCGACAGCAGCGGTACGGTCGTGGTGGACACGGAGGGCGTAGTGCAGAGCATTGTGCAGCTCTTGGCACGGTTGTTGCGTCACGCCGCAGACGACTTTCCCAAGGATGCCATCAAGTTTGGTGTTTTGCACCAGCTGCTTCGCAGCACAAGCAATCCCACGACTCACAATGCCGTCCTGGCGCTGCTTGCCGTGGCGGCTGAGCGATGCCCCGACCGCGTTACATCGCACATCATCCCCGTCTTTGCCTTTATGCGCACCCTGGCGCTGCAGCGAGTGGATGACGAATACAGCTATAGCGTGCTGCGCAAGTCGATGTCCGCCATTCTCCCACCTCTGGCTCGTCTGCAGACCAAAGATAGCCTCCGCCTCATGGCCGATAATTGCAAGGCCTTTGCCAACTCGTACATTGCCATCCCCAGCCACCGCCGCCAGCTGCTCTTCCATCATCTGGCATCGTGCCTCCATGGACCGACTCACCTTTTCCTTGTGTGTGCGGCGCTCCTGAACAGCGATGTGACCATGCGCCCAGGAGAGGCCTTGGCGCAGGGCACAGATGGCCTTACTGCAGCGTCCCGCAGTGACCGCATGTCAAGCAGCTCCGCCATTTCCTCAACGTCGGACATCCCCGAGCTTGTCTTGGACATGTGTACACAGGCCGATGTTTTGGTCCATCTCAAGGTGCTACGCCTGGTCGTAGACCTGGTGGCGACCCTGCCCGTGGCAGCGCCGCGGAAATGGCAGGGTGCCTCGCAGACCACACCGCACTTGTCCTTTGATATGGTGCTTGATCCATGCTCTTCATCCAACCGTGACCTGCGCCATCTTCGCTACATGCTGGTCCGCCAGTTGGCCAGCCATCTCAATTCGTCAGCTTTGCTGCGCCAGCTGCTTCAAGCGCGCACTGAGGGTTCGCAAGAGCTCCGTACAGAGCTGCGTGCCGCCATCTTGGCCTTGTCGGAAGATGCCCTGGTTTTGTCCGCACAGCTGAAATCGCAGGCACGCCAGGCGCAGCAACAACGACGTGCTAGCTCGAGCGCGACTCGCTCTCCGGCTGCCGGATTTGCTGGCTCCACGCGCTACTGGATGGAGCTTTGCAATGAGGCGAACCTTGCTCTGTACCGCGTCAACTCACTCTTGGGCCTATCAGACTTTATGGCTGTCATTCGTGGTCTGCTGGATCAGGCCTCGATGCTGAAGAAGCAAGGCCTGGACATGCTGGCGCGCCGACTGGAGAAGCGCTCTGCCCGTATGGATCGCTTTGCTGAGGGCAGTGACGGTCAACAGAGCCAGGTGGCTTTCGATATGGTGCCCTTGCTCTTGACGCTGGCACAGCCACAAACAGAGGATGGGGCGACGGGCACGGGCGCCGAACCCGGTCTGTTGCGCGTGGTGCCTCAGAAAGCGCTCTACTGCGTGTCACTCATTCTCAAGCTGTTTGGTGCCGAGCACACCGAAGCGGTGGCCGAGCTGGTTCCACAGTTCTTTACGCTTCTCGACGCGCATGCCGGAGACACCGAGGTACAGGCCACGGCCCTGGTGGCCATTGGCGTGGTCGTCATGGTCCTGGGCAATGGCTTTTTGCCTTTCCTGCCCACGCTGACGACGGCTTTGGGTCGGTGCAGTGCATCGGTTTGGCCCTGTTTTACAGCTGGCGCAATCTCGTCATCAGACCGTACAAATGCTGCGTCGGAAGACGAGGACGACGGCGCCTTGGCGGAGCAGCCGAGCGAGCAGCGCCAGCGCGGCCTGGTCTTGCTGGATGCTGTGATGGAGGTGACATCCCACGTTGTCTCAGCGCTGACGCAGTTGATGGGTGCTAGCCTCCCAAGCCTTGTCGGCAACGTGGCCCACCCATGTGTTTTGGCCTCGCGTGACGAAGGTCCTGCTGTGTCCGATAAGCTGCTGGCCAAGGCGAGCACGGCACGCACATTGTTTGCACTCAAGGTCTCGCCACGCCTGTTGCTACCCGCGCTCAGTCGTCGTCTGTTGACGCGCATTGAGGCATCGGCGCAGGAACCTGCAGTGGTGGTTTCAGAGGTAGTGGCTCTGCTGGGCATGATCCAGCGCCGCATTGAAACAGCCGAGCGCACCGAGCTCAAAGGTCAATTCCGTATCCAGTTTGACTCTTTTCACAAGATCTTTGACGCCGTGCGCCGGTGCGGCTGGCCTTTGGACCTGGTTGAGCGTGTGGATCTGGCGGTGGTGGAGTGCATGGTGGGCTGTGTCATGAAGATGTCTGACACTCTGTTCCGCCCGTTGTTGCTTCAGTTTATTGATTGGAGCACACAGGCCACGGCTGGTCATGGTCGTTTGGTGCCACTTTTCCGCTTCGCTGCGGCCACCACGGAACGCATCCGCCATTTCTTTGTGCCGTACTTTGCGCATCTGCTCAAGTATGCTGCTGATGTGCTGGGTGAGGATGAGGAGACGACTGAGTTGTACGGTTCCGAGGCGCAGGTGCTCGTGTCTGTCATCCTGAAGGCTTTGCAGCGGTGCTTCAAGTACGATGACGGCGAGTTTTTGACGGGAGAGCGCTTCAAGGTTTTGGCTCCTTTGCTGGCAGCCCAGCTCGATTTGCAGGACGGCGAGGGCACGGCATCCTACCAGGAGCGCATGGGCGCTGACGTCATCCCCGTACTGGTTGAGTTTGTGTCTGACACTCGCGACGAGAAACTCTGGAAGCTCATGAACGATGTGGTACGGCTTGGAGTTGTGCTTGAGCGAGGCTTGCTCGTTGTTTGTGCCGAGGGTTTTGTCCCTGCTGACAAGTCAATTATCATGTTTGATGCCAAGCCTGTCTTTTTGCTCGACTTGCCACAGACTAACGGGGGTTTTTTTTTCAATTTTTTTTTTTCAATGATATGATTATGTAGGTCTTGCAAAAGACGCGGGCCGGTGAACCGGTCGTGCGTGAGCATGCTCTGATGGTGATTGAGGGCATTTACGATCGCGTTGGCGAGGAATTTTTGTCCCTCTTGCCGGAAACAATCTTGTATCTCAGCGAGTTGCTTGAAGGTATGTCTGTTCGAGCCTTGCTGTTCCCACAGGGAGAAGTGTGTGTGTGTGTATGTATGTGCCAAGGCGGGGTGCAATGGGCTTGTATTTTTGACTCGCGTTTGTTGGTTTGCTGACGTGGTTTGCTGACGTTGGCTCTGCTCGTATCCAATCTCATATGGCCTTGTTGTTTTAGATGATGATCTCAATGTGGAGCGTCAGAACAAGAAGCTCATTGCCAAGATTGAATCCTTCCTGGGTGAGCCGCTGAGTAATTACTTTTAGAGCGTTTGCCAGCCGGTGACGACCTTTCGATCGCGCGATCAATCATGGTAGCTTGCCCATACTTTTCTTCACCTCTTTGTGAAAGGCAAGTGGAGTGATCTTCTTTGTCGTCTACCATGTTCTTTTTTTCAACAAAACAAAGCACCTTGTTAGATTCAATCGATTTGGTTAAGCCCCAACCACGGCGCCCTTGGTGCGCCCGCGACTATATGGCGTCACGGCTCACTCCTTTCGTCCGAGGCATGACCATCGGTATCGACGATAAAGTCAATGGTGCCGGGTGGACCGCAGTAGTCGGAGAGCGGCAGGGGCTCGAGGCCTTGTTCGCGCACGACTAATGAGGAAACAGAGCTATGTGTGAGGATATGAACAAGCGAGTAAGCTGAGCATAGATAGGGCTGGGGCGGCAATGGCACTGACCTTGACAATAGGACTGATATGCTTGACGTATGTGCGGACTGGCAAGGTGGGCAGGTGTCGGGGACACGGGGCGGCGAGTCAGGGCAATGTGCTTGATAGGGGTTGAAGTAGCTAGCTCTTGTTCCTCCGCCGAGGCAATTCGTTTGCGCAACGCAAGCAAGGACTCATTGATGGTTGGGGGCGTGCTGGTGTTTGTATGCCTCACGGGGCTAAGCTGTAGGTCTGTGGGCAAACTTCTGGCGCGACTGCGGCGCATCGACCGATGCCCAGAGCGGCGGGAGGCCGGGGCGTGGATGGTCATGGACAACTCCAGACCCGAGTCTTCAGGGGAGCTGGTTTCAAAGCGATCAATGGAAAGCTTGCGATGTGTAGGAGGGGTACAGGGGTTATTGCAGGGTTGGCGGATCGCAGGACGCATGGAATGCGTCGCTTCTCGCTGTTGATCGGGTGATGAAAGCTGAACAGGTTGGCTGTTGGGCAGGCGTCGCACTCGCTTGATCGGGGGCTGGCTGGATGTGGACTGAGTCCGAGATGCCGCACTTGTTGTTGCCCCGTCTGACTGATGGGAGGTCCAGCGGGAACGGGGCGGCGCAGCAATCGGGCTGAGGTCCAAAGAAACATCCGTTTGGGCCGCAGTGTTCATCGTGGCAGAGTGGATGGGGTTATCAGCCTCGGTTAGAGGCGGTGTGGGTGAGGATGTCGGGGAGGCCAAAGGCGGGCTTGCTGCCATCATGACAGGTAAGCTGGTGGCATCCACATCGCGAATCAGGGCCTGCAGCCGAGCCAGCGCATCCATGTTGTCTTGCTCGATATCGTCGTGGCGTCTGCTCCTCCCTCACACGCATCGCCTCCACCGCTCGCGGTTCGTTCGCTCGCGGCTCGTTCAATGGCTCCTTCGTGTTTGTGGTGTAACGGTCAGTAACGACCAACCAACCAACGCTCGTGCTGACAATTTATCAGAAAGTAAAATACAAACCACATCAGACCTGAACTGTGCGTGCGTGTGTGTGCGTGTGTGTTCTTTTACTTTTTTTTCGGTTTTTTTTTGTTCTTTGCTCCTCTATGGTGTGTGTGTGTGTGTGTGTGTGTGACTTTGATTTTATATTTTTTTCATTCACTGTGCTGTTGTTGCTGCTGCTGTGGCTGCCACGACAATTTTGGAAGCGTCGGCGGCTGTGGCTTGCAGCTGACAAGTGCGGCGGCGGCTACTGCTGCTGCTGCTCACTTGCGGTCAGCAGCAGTGATATTGGATTGTGCAGCGGGGCGTGCTGGCTTGATTCGCTCCCGCTGCGTGACTTTTGAGGCAGCAAGATGTTGAAGCGACTTCGCGCGTCGGTACGACCGAGTGTTTCTTCTTAGCTCGTCCCGCCTTCGCTTGAGCACTGATGCCTGCAATGTTCTGCCTTTTTCTTGGCCTTGCCTCTGGCTTGTGCCTTGTTGTCACATTCCGGGTGTCGTGTAGCGGCGAGAATCGTCAGCTGCAGCGGCGACTGCCACGGCCACTGATGGCGAACAGAACACCGCACCGCAGCCTACGATTCGAGCAACAGCGCGCGTGCATCGCCCCCCCGTCCCCCCCGATGAAGAGGTACGAATATCGGAAGGAGAGGCCCCAACAGAAGCACACCCTGCGAAGATCTATTATGCCTGTCGCCTCATTCCATGTCGGACTTGTGCTTCATGTCGTATGCGTGGAGTGCAGCTTTTGGCCAAGCTTGATCCAGCCTTCTCTGATCAAGAAACAGATATCATCCGTCACTCGATGAACGAATTTGCAGCCGACATGCCGAGTAAGCCGAGGCCTGCCAAATCCATGTTCTGTGCTGTGTGGTGCTTGGTTGATAAAGTACTCATGATTGATTCCTCAACCATGCATGCAGCGCGTGAGCAGATTGACGAAAGGCGCAAGTTGAAGTATCAACAGCTTGCCGCGGTACATGCTTGGCGCTCACACTTGCAGGCTGCGGTATCACCTCCAATTTCAACTAATCTGATCTTTTTTTTCGGGCCGTGGCACGTTGATGCAGGTCAGCAAAAAGCTCTCTGGCCTGGTCCTCGATCACCACAAACAGTTTATGACTGAGCTGGCGGTAAGGACTGGCTGTTGCCCAAGCAAGCTCCTTTTCTCATCGCACGCTTACCCTATATGTCTGTCACTTGAAAGCGTGTCACGGAGCTTTCAGAGCAGCTCCAAATGACTGTTGTCGTCTGCAAAAATGGGCGCCGCCTCCTCAACAAGGCCGAAACCGCTGTATCTTCAAGCCTCGAGGTCTTGCTCAAGGACCGCCGAAAACGGCGCATGATCCACTTGCTCAAATCCTTGCAAGCCATTGGTGCGTCTGATGGCCTCGCCCACTTTGGTCATTTGCATTTGCACACTCACTTGATCAATGCTTCTCAGCGATCATGCGCACCGCCGACACGCGCCTCTCACAGCTTCTGGAGGAGCGCGACTTTTTGGGAGCCATTGAGGTCAGGAGCCATGCTGGACCAAGCCTTGCTTGATTTTGACCCATGGTGCCTGTCTTCCTCATGCACCGACATGGGTGCTTTTACTGCCCATGCTTTTAGCTATGGAAAAATTGCCGGGTCATCACCACCGTGTACGATGAATATGATTGTATTCGAGATTTGGCAGCCCAGCTCGGTGAAGGCACGCCTCGCATCATTGGGCGTCTCCAGGTCGAGCTGGAGACGATGCTTGACGACAAGGTGCTAACACCTTGTCGCGATGGCATTGCGCCTGATCAAGTTGCCACCCTCAGCTTTGCCGGTGCCGGAGAGGTCGGTCCTTGCAAACGTCGACTCTATCCTTCGCATCCACATTCATAAATATGCGCAGACATACAGAGGCATTCTCACTGTGATATCACATGGGGACGATGCCATCAATCTGGTAGATCTTAGATGCATACAGCGCGCTTGAGGAGCTGGATGCCTGCATTGATGCCGTTGCAACGCGCCTTTGCTCATATCCCGCCAAACTTGCGCGTAGCGTTTTGGGAGAGCTCACACAAATACCAAACATTCGACGGGCTCCATTGCGCACCATTTTCCAGCAAATCAAACCAGCTGATCTTGAGCTCGGAATCACTCGCCTCTGCCGCGCGTACGCGCTACTTATGCTATTCTTTGATCGCGTGGCCAGTGTACTGCTGGAGGCCAACCACAAGGCACGCGTATCAGCAGCGGCGGAAAGCACTGATCCCGGAGAGCCACACGATCTTGATCAGGAGCACGCAGGGTTCAGTGATGGAACGAGTATCTCTGCGCCCCCCACGCCACGTGGGGGCACTATATCAAACGCCAATGCCCCGAGCAGCGAGCGCTTTCTCTCCGTGCGCGACGACAGGTTGGGTGCACTCTTCCGCAAATTTATCCAGACAATCGCTGCAGTCGCAAGCAGCAGACTCACGCGTTTTGGCTGGCCACATGGCAGTGACGACTTGGATTATGTTCCTGTACGCGTACAGCATGCGCGCTTCAAGCTTTGGCAAGATTTGCAGCGCCAGCTTGTACTTGTTTTGGCTTCTTCTCAGATTGCCGCTCTGAATGCTGCCGATTACATGGAGGTTTGTGATGGCTGGGCTTACGAGCGATCGCTGAGAACAAACTGCAGATCCGTTCCGCTCTGTCCTTGGTCAGCTCCAAGCATAGCTTTCTCATCGTTTTCTTGGCTGCTTCTGTGGTCCAAACAGCTTATTACCCATGTGCGCTGTTTTGGCGAACTCGGCGAGGATTTTTCGGGCCGAACAGATTCCAATCTCATGGCGCAAGCCATCAAGGATCAAACACGCGCCTACGTCATCAACTTTCACCGACGCACACTTGGCGAGTTCCGCGGAGTCATCGAGAGTGACAACTGGGCTCCTGCACCCGTGGCTCCGGTATGCTGCGCGTGTTTTGCAATGCCGTGTGTGTGTGTGTGTGTGTGGTGCGGGCCATCTTCATCTCTGTCTTTCAACTCACCATTTTCTTCCCGAATGTTGCCATGTCGTTTGCATGGCTCCATATAGGATTTTAACATTTTCTTTCTGCCCGAGTTTGCCTTTTTGCGCAAACCTCGCACTCGGGATGGTGGATCACAAGAGATCGCATCTAATGCAATCAATTTGGACGGCGATGGTCTCGCCGAGACCGAGACCGACCCTGCCACCCTGGTCGACTTTGTACAGGCACCAGACAAGTTTTTCGTCGTCCATGCTCAAGCACAGGTTAGTCATCTCCATGCAGTAGGTGCACCCTTGAAGACTGAGAGGGCCTTGCCTTACTTTGATGGCGCACACACTCTAGGAAACCACCGCCCTCAACGCTAAATCTGCAGCGACGACTCCTGTGGTAGGTGTCAAAGATTGCTTGATTTGTGCATGAGCCCGGTCTGCTTGCATCTGCTGAGGCTTTAGGCGTTGTCTTTTCAAGCCAATTTCCTCTTCAGTCGTCACGGCCCGAGTACATGAAGACACAAGGCTAGTCTCTTGACAAATATTTTCTTCTTCTTTGCATCTGATAGAAAACAAGCAAACCCCGCACGGCAGGTGGAACGCCGCAAAGGCCCATTCCAGCATCAGCACCGGTCACACCCGCAAAGGGTGCCCCGCCGCCACCACACTGCTCCCAATCAGCGCTCCGCTTGACTGCGGAATGTGGTGCGTGAGCAAATATTATGTGTCTGTTCTTCCTTGCAGATATGGGGATCTTTACATGTCGAAGTGCTCGTGCAGCAGCGTCTCATGCGTTGGATGTTGCATGACAGGACGCTACTTGCAAATGATGCAGGTCTTCCCAGCCATAGCCAGCGACACTTTTGCACGTCTCACAGAACTTGTGGACATGTACATTTATGCGGTCTTTCACTTCTTCGCAGAGGATCAGGTCCAAACAACAGCCTAGCTTTTTTTTTTTTTTTTTTTTTTTTTTTTTTGACTGTCTTTGCCGTGCCGTTTCTTCGGCAGGCCTCGCCCTTTTGCTCACCGCAGTGCTTTGGTTCATAGATGTTTTTCTCCTACGCTGTGCTGTCTCCGACCGCCAACTCGCTGCTCGAGCGTGTGCGCCGCCCTTTCGAGGGATATCCGCCTGGCACGGCCAGGGTCGCCGAGGTACATGTGCAGCGTTGGCATTGCCCACAGTCCATTGTGCCGACTGACTGTTTGCTGTTCTTCAGGGCGAGGCGACTGATGACAACGTGAGGTCAGACGAAGAGGAGGAAGCGGAGGAAAGTGGGGCAAACCCGACGGAAGCTGAACCTGACATGGAGCTCGCTCCGCGACCACCGCAAGCTCAGCCGTTAAAATTGCACAGCGATGTTGAGCGTGATAATGCATCGTCACTTTTTGGCCTCGCGGCTCGAGTCAGCGGTGCCGAAGGCCTGTACGTGTCTGTTTTGTGTTTGAGCTTAGCCGGCTCTGTTCTTGTATGGATGCTGCAGGGGCAGCGCGCGTCCAGTTCGTTGGTCTCTATCTTATGGGTTGCGTTCGTACGTGTGACAGGAACTTTGTGAGCACAGTTTTGCGCTCTCTGCGCAACAATATTGTGCGGCGCCTCGACTCGACCGGGGCTCAAGCTGCTGACAGCTATCTCAAGCAGGTATCACCATGCCACCAAGCGAACCAAACAAGCCGATCGGCCCCATTGCTCTCGAGGATGGCGAGTTCGACACTGCTGTGGCCATGCAGGCAAAGGGTTTTTCACATCTTGCTTTTCCTGTCTAGACCGTGGACCACTTCAAGGAACTGCGCTGGTACATCTATAAAAATGTCGTCTTTCGCATGATGCCCTCAGATAAAATGACGGCAGCTTTGGATGGGTACGGGCGTGTTTGAATTATCGTTCACCATCTGACTGCGTGAAGCCTGCTTGGTCTGCAAGGCGTGTTGATGAGCTCATGCTTTTTGTACAATGGGCAGTCTGAAATGGGATGTGAAGGAAATCACGACTGAGCACAGTCCCTACGTGGACGAGCTGATTGCGGATGTGCGCGTCATTCATACGCGATTGGACTTGCTGGGCACCAAGCGGCTACCCGAGCCAGCGCTCAAAACCATCTGGAACGAGATTTACAGCGTCACAAACATGGCCTTTGTAGATGGGTGCGTCTGTGAGCGGCCGATGACATGCCATTCAACACAAGTTGTGCCTTTCAAGCCATCCCGCGCCATGGGGACTTGGTTTGGTGCTTATGGTTTCTCTTGTGTGTTTTTAGCTTTGCCTCGGCCAAAAAATGTACCAACGAAGGTCGTGCCAAGATGCAGCTGGACTACAAGCACTTTCTGAATAAGATTGGCAGTTTGAGCCCAGTCAAGTGCGTGTCGCTTTGAAGCGCACGCCGTAACGGCTTGGCTAGAGAGTGTCTCACCTACATGCATCGCGCGGGATTTGCTCGTTGGGCCTAGGCCCACGACCGATGTCGTGCAAAACTACATTCAGGCATATTACCTATCAGATGCGGACCTTGAGCAGTGGATTCGTACCAATCATCAGGTGCGGCTCGTGTTCATCGGGGCCAGCTGACGCGAAGGGGGCCACGTATGCTCGAAGCAGATTTTTGAATTCAATTGGGGGTAGGGGTGGTCGTATAAGAGAGGGCTCAGCCCATTCGTGTGGCTGACTGCGATGTGCTCGGCATGGTGGTAGGTCTACACGGCACGCCAGCTCAGTCAGCTCATTGCCGTGACACCGCACAAGAAGGCGCAGCGCCAGAAGCTACAAAAGGTGGTGGATGAAGTTAAAGCATGAGACCTTTGAGGGATCCGGCGAGTCTTGCTGTCGGCACCTGTGATTGGCTGGTTACCGATCATGATGTCCTTGTTGTACAGCAGCAAATTTATTCCTGTCGTGCGTGTCTCGTTTTCGCCAGCATCAGCTGCGATCTTCCCGATTATCTCACGCCCATCCCTCGGATGACGTGTCTCAAGTCATTGAGAGAATTTCAAGCGATAGCTCGGAGCCACGTAGAAAGAGCGCGGGCAGACGAGCGGGTAGGCGAACAAGATGCGCCGAGCTCAGCGCCGATCGACCATTTTTAGTCCGGGATGGCTCCAGCAGTGCCCATATGAGGGCCAGCACCCATCGCGGTCCCGTCACTGTCAGCTGCACCTGGGTCAAGGGAGAGGGGGGGAGTGAGATTCGCCCGGCAGCATTCACTTTGAGTGGCACAAAAGGTCTGTTGCAATGGGTGTGCCAGATGGCCCACGGACCAGGGAGAAGTAGAGGTGTGCTGTCGCGATGGTGGGCAGAAGGAACACGATGAGGACAAAGGCAAGAGCCCCGACGGGCTCTTCTCCATGGGACATGGGGCAAGAGTCAACGCGCTGTCGCAGCGGATTCCACTTTTTACCTATGGAGCGCCATGAGGTGCGTTCAAACGAAGCCAATGGAGTCAGATCAAGTGAATGGGTGGAGTGGCACGGTTTGAAGGATCTACTAGGCAGCGCACCAGCAAAGAGGAGGAGAAGGGACCATGCAGTGTCTATAGCACCGCGAAACATCCAGGCCACAGTGCGGTGTGCCGTGGACACGTGAATGGAGAGCAGCTGAGTGAGATCCAGAGTGAGGGCCACCAGGAGAGGAACCCCGCCAGCACATAACGCCATCAGCGCCAAAACAGGAAGCCAGGGCGCGGCCAGGCTGAAGAAGATGGCACAGCCGCGCAGCCACACGACCAGCGCATAGCGAAAGACGGCAACAAAAGCCCCTGCCACGGGCACGTTGAGCTTGAGACCGCCGGGGTGCTGCGTTAAAGTCTCCAATGTGCTCTCAAGAAGATGCAAATAACGAAGGGCAAGCTGCCCGGCCAGCTCGAGGGCTAGCTGCAATCGTTCGGCCTGGGCCAAGTAGCTCGCCGCCACGGCGCAACACAAGGCCAATCGTCCTAGAACTTTGCGCATGACCCCACCCTGTAGACCACGTCGTGCAGTCAGCCAGCTCCATGTCCAACAGTACAGTGGCGGAGGGTGACCTCGATCAAGAGGCCCCCTCGCCCATGCCATCTCGCCCAATTCGCAAATCAGAAGTTTGAAATGGAAAAAAAAAATGTAAACACCCCTCCTTTCTGTTTTTTAATTAAGAGAAGCGAAAGAAGAAGGGGATGTTTGAAAAAAAATCAATTTCGATATCATCGTTTGCGTTTTTGGATCAGATATTATATCTATGGGCGCATGAATCCGGCCAGCACACAGCGTGGCTGCTGGAAGCTGGGAAAGGCCAACTTACGAAATGGTCCACTCAGCTGCAACTTCATCGGATTGTAGGTAGTCCGGAACTTGAATTGTGATGCCCACTTCAGGCGCGCGAGAGCTACCACCACCTTGTGAGCGTGCGGCGCGCTTTTCCACTGCTCGGGCACTGAGGGCTTGTTGCAAGTTGCGATCCCAAGCCGTTGAGAACGTTTCAAACGTCTGATCGAGTATGGGTAGCCAAAGAAGCATTTGAGTGAGTGTTAATTGGCCAATCTTAAAGCCAAGGCAGTCATGGGGCTGGGCGCGATGTCACCAACCAGATCCGCGCCTTCTGCTGCCACAATGAGATCGCCGTCCTGTAGATGCGAGGGCGGGTTGCGAAGGCTCAAAATCTTCTACGCGACCAACCAGCCAGCATGCCCAATCATCATGCCAGCAGCCTTTGGCATGCAGCGCGCCAGCTGCAAACGTGGGGCGCTTGAGCATCAAACATGGCCTCCGCAACCGGGCTGCGAACCTTTTTGCCCTTTTTGGAGCGAGCAGCGCCCATTTCCAACATCTTCCAAGTACCATGGGTCGGCACGTGTTTGGCCAAGGTTATGGCGCTACCCTTGGATAGTGGCAGTTCTTGCTCAAGCGCGGCGTGAAGCTCGCTCAGCTGCCAAGCCAGATGCGCAAAGAATACATTGAGTCGTGTCGCCTGTGCTGTAGCCGCGAGGGAAGGAAGGGGGGACAAGGCGAGAGCCCAAGCACATGGAATGGCATCATACATACTGTGGGGTGAGGGCCCGTTATAAATCGCATCCAGCGGGGGACGGAAATGGCGTTGAGATCCGGATAGGCCAACGCCACCTGAGGCACAAGGGAAAAACAACAGGGCAGCAAGCATCAGGCGTGGTAGGCGTGGTGCACGGTCATGACACGGCCATGGCACAGCAGTCTGAAGCGCATATGTACGCTCTGCTTGATGATGATCTGGATAGAAGGCATGCGCAACGTACTCGCAGCATGAGGTCGTGGCGACCAAGGTCATCGCGGGCGGCCAGCAACGTTACAACGATCCCATTCGTTAACTTTTGTTTCTTTAATTGCGCCGCATCCTCGCGAAGGACGCGGCCCTTGGTTCCGCCAACCTTGAGCTGCAGGCGTATGGCAGGTGGCGCAAGGCTTTGTAGCAGTGGCCGTGCCAGTACTTCAGCCTGGCGGCAAACAGGCAGCAGGGTGGTCATGCCAGTTGAACCCACGGCCGACGCGTTGTCAAACCGGTCAACTCCAGACTCACCTCGAGTTCTGCCACAGTGCGCTCCAATGATATTTCCAGCTCGTCAAATTGGTAAAGTCCAGGGTCGTTGGCCAGCTGATACGCCGAGGCGAGCCCCATTTCAAGGCTGTTGGGACTAATGTTGGAGACAGCAACAAGCGCTCTCATTGAGCGCTCCTACCAGGTCAAGTAATTGTCTCCATCCCTTTTCTCGAAAACCGGATCGCCACCTGAGCCAGCAAGCCCTTGCAACAGTAACTAAGCACCTACATAGTAGTATCGGCTTGCTGATCTGCCGACTGCTTTTTGGAAAGTTTAGAACACGGGTTAGGTTTGAGCAAGGTTGCCATATTCACAGGCAATTCAACAACATGAAACGCCTCGAACAGAGGCGATTCGTGACACATGGAAAGACGATGTATGCAGTCGATGGGCAAGAGGCAAGTGACTAGAGACAAGAAGAGCGTGCAAACAGTATCTAGCTAAAGCTACGGCGGGTAGGCATTACCTCGGAATTGGAGGCTTGTTCAGCAGCATCCAAGGCTTCTTGAGCCACCCGCAATTCCATGAAAGTTTGATCGTCGATAAAACTTTCGTGCGAGGCGAGCGTGTCGAGGAAAAGCTGGATACGAGTGTATCCCTACTTAACGCGCAAAATTTCAAGCCATTGAGTTGGAAGACCGGTAGCTGGGCGATGCAAGAAGCCGATTTTAATTGGTGCCAGGTTTGGGCACCGGGCTGACTTCGGGTATGCTGACCTTGGGCATAACGCTACCCCATTCTAGGGCAAGAAGGGTGTTTTGAGCCGGGTTGAGCGTGCGCAAACTCATTTCGACGTCACGCTGGGGCTCGCCCAGATCTCCACACCAGTTGGTCAAGCACAGATGACAGGTTTGGTGCGCTGGAATGTCCAGCTCCGCCTTGAGCACCTCAGTCAAGGTCTTCAGGGACCAGTCCAACTCGGCAAAGACCTCGCGCTGCTGCCGCGATGCCCAAAGCCGTTTGGCGTCGTCCGAGACCGGTGATGGGTGTGCCTCATCCGCGAGGGCCAGCATCACGCGATCCGCCACCTTGGTCTGCTCTAAAAGTCTGGGTCCTATCTTGTACCTGAGAGGCATAAGGTACGACGACACGAGGTCAGGTCAACACAGCAAACACAACCGCTGAATTGAGGTCAGCTTCGGCGCAACTTACCGCAGCACGCGAATGCGTTGGGGGTCGGGAACCGGTCCTGGCACAAGATAAAAGGTTGTGCCGGCAGCAATGCCATGATCCTATTCGGGGTGCCATTGACAGAATGGTGCATGTAAGTGAGTGTTGTACTGGTCAAGTGGTAATGACCATGGCAACAGCAATGAAAGAGCCCAATAGGCTAAGAACAGCAATCGTGGCGGATGGCTGCCGGGACCCGAAAAATTTTCGCAAGCTTTGCTGCATACCTTGATTGTGCCTTGCTCGTGCAAAACCAATTTACCTAGCCCGCTCTCAGCTACATCCCGATCCATGGCGCTGGCGAGCGGGAAGGAACAAAGACCAAAACAAATCAGCACACGAGGGAAATAAGGCAGTGCGTACCCAATGGGCCCAGGTCCACAACACCGCTACCTTCTGAGACTTGAGCCATTTGATCCGTACCGTAGCTGAAACGTGTCCAAGGGGGCCTCGAGGGCAAAGGTGTCCTTCAGTTGTTGTTTAATTTGGCGCATGGGGGCAGTGCGTTTGAACTCAACAGTAGCACGCTTCCAGTCCGCTGGCGGCCCATCGTGCTGTTCAAGGCACAGTTCGACGTAGTGTTTGCGATGCTGAAACGCTTCGTTGGCAATGGGAGTTGTACCCCCACCAGCAAGTTCCGCCCCAACCACGGTTTGGCTATCAAATTCAAGCTCCTGCAATGTTTGCCCATCCTGCTTCTCGGACAAATGCACGGGAAGCTCAGAATCTACGTGGTCGACGCAGGGTGTGAATGAAAACGAGGCAAAACATGCAATCAAGTCACATGCTGTGAATAAGCCACAAGAAGAACAGTACAAGCGCACCCGAGCAGCCACTGTCAATGCGGTGGAGTAGCAAGTAGTCAATATCTATTTGAAATTGCTCAGCCAGAAAGCGACGGAGCTGCCGAAGATTATGGGAGCGCGGCATGGTGACAGCAATAGTCGTGTCCTGGAAAAAAGTGGGCACACGGGTCAGTCGGGTCGATCACAGACGCAAGCGAACGGTTGTTGATAGCTGTCGCTATCTTGGCATGCTTTGTGATGACAAGAACGGAGGATACGCATCACCTGCTTGCGAGTCTTGCCAAAGTGGACTGCTGAAAAGTTGATGGGTGCATGTTCTTGACCTGCCACATAATTCATGCAAGTGCAGAATGAGCAGTCGCATGAAAGACGTTTGTCGAAATGGAAGTTCTTGATCGTACCACTGCGAATGGTTGAGCCATTGACTGTTTGGCCATCCCAAGCTAGCAGCTCAGTGCCACTGGCAAGCTGCAACTCCTCGAGCGTGCCCGTGGAATCGGATGCCACCTGTTTATCAGAAATGGCCAAAACGTCCTCCGCAATACGCTAGCCATGCGTACAAAAAATAGAAAAAAAAAAAAAAATCGAAAACCACATCAAAGAAAAAACGTACGAGTTGAGAGGCTACTAGAAGTGTTGGCATGTGCGCCTCAAAGCAACTCCATTGCTCATTCACGATTAAAGCAAAGACGTACGTTAATAAAGCTCAGCGTCATGCCAGGCACGGCCCCTTCCAAGTCTGACTCGGCTGCACTGAAAACTCGTCGAATGGGGTCTCGACGATCCAACTCTAGCACCTGGGACAAGGTTCCTCGTGAACGCAAATCTTGTTGCATGTGGATGTCGCTGAACAGCATTCCTTGGAAAAATAAACAAACAAGAACCAGCCCGTGGATCGGCTGACAAACGAACCTTGAGCAACTTCAGTTCCTGAGCCAGATCATCTTCAGCCACAATGGGGTTCAGAGCCCCTGTGACCACTTCAAAGGCACGGTGGCTCCAGATTTTGACAATGCGCCGGTTGATTTCGCGTTCATATCGCTGAATGCCCAGCAGCCACAGTGCCATCAAGATAAGAGCAGGCAAAGGCCGTGCAAAATATACCCCGTAAAGTGATGAAAATGAACCAACCTCATGCGCTTCGGCCAGCTTTGTGTTTTCGGCAAGAACATTTTTCAGGAGAGGCTGAACATGACAAGGCCATCAAAAGGTCAGCCGGCATAGTAGAGGCAAGCACTTGAATAATGCAGTCACACGTTTAGAGACACGACGACTCGGGATCAATCACACATCGACATTTGCTTGGTCTCTGTCTGTCTGTCTGTCTGTCTGTCTGTCTGTCTGTCTGTCTGTCGTTTGCCCCACCCAGTAACTTGCTGAAGCGTCAAAGTAAGAGAAGCGTGGCAGGAAGAGCAAGGCAAGGGCGCCACGAAGCTGACCTCGGGCACACTTGGCGGCTCAGGCGTCGGACCCCCGGTCGGGCAATGTTTGGTTTGAATATAGAAGAGCATGTACGCACATTCGGTGCCACCAAAGACCGCTTCAATCTGTTTCCAGTCCGCGGGAGTGACGCGATCGTCGTTCACGCAGAACCACCGAGCAGTCTGAGGTCTCTTGACACCGCCAGGGCCGTGCGAATCAGAGCCCGTGGGACTGGCGGTGCTAGTTTCAGCGTCCGCGTCCGCGGCCGGTTTCTTCAAGGTGCGAGCCTTGCCCACGGGAGTGACCAGGGCAGCTGGGGTCAATCCCAGGGTCCCGAGGTTTTCATCCAGCTCAAACACATTCGGGTGGCGACGAACAAATTTGATGAGCGGCCCAAAGCCTTTTTTGTAGCGTTTGTTCCAGCTCTGCCCTGTACGTTCCTCCATCATCTGCCAAAAGCGGATCAAAACGGCTCATGAGATCAGAGCGAAACGTGGCCTTGTTTCCGCTGCAGGTGCAAGAGAACTACCTCGCCAATCGCTCCCAGCTCCACGGTCTTCCAATCACTGCTCGAACGCACGTCGAGCAGCAAGTTGTGCAGGACATCGACAGGGTGGTCGTGGTTCAAGTAATCTGTTTTTTGCACTTTCTTGTGTCCGCCGCTGGGCTTGGTCCATTGGCCTTTTTGATGCATCCGAGCCGGCATATGAGCACGCAAACACATGATGGCATGGGTTCACGCATGCACATCTTGTGCATGCGCTCCGGGCATCGAGTTGGGCTGACCTTCGTGCATGAGGTCGCGCACAAAGGCGTAGTAGTGGCCGCCATGTGCCCCACCTCGGTGCACGACCACCGAGAAGAGCTCATAGTCGTAATCTGTCCAGTGTCGAGCAGAGGCGGAAGAGACACAGGTCTTTTATGAGAGTTCACGCTTGGCTGTGAGCGGACGATGAATGGTACAGGCCCTGTCACCGGTGAGACTGGTAAGCATACCACTCAAATCTTGATCCTCGGTACAGAAGGGGCGCATATCGAGATGGACCGGAAAGGGGTACTTGTTAGTTTCCTTCTCCCGCACATTGCGGTTCCAATCGAAACTGCAGGTGGAGAAGGGCCATTCCACAATGCAGAAGAGTTGAGATAGGCAGCCCGAGGGCAAGACCACGGGCGAGATGCGTGCAGCAGGGCAGAGGCCGCACCTGAAGCGCATCAGATTGAAGGTCAGAATGGGTGGTAACCGGCCAAAGCGCGTTCCTTTGTGAGCAACGACTTTTTGATCACAGCCGCTATCGCATCATCCGTCACGCGCAGCATCGGGGCGCATATGAGAAAGAAGTAAGAAGCAATTAGAAAAGAAAAGCACATTGTGAGATTAGTTTAGAAATGCATGCGCTGGGGTGCTTCAATCACTTGGGAGGCGACAAACCTGCAGTGATACTTGTTGTTGCCCTCTAAAATTTCAATGTTCGTGAAGTCTTTGAGGCTGCCATTGATTTGAGTCAAAATTAGCAGGTGGCAAATCAAACGAAGAAGTCGGTGAGACTGTCCAGACCAAGCAAAGGCGACCCCAACGCACCAGGCACCGTGGTACCAAACTCACCCGGCAATGAGGCCATTTTTGCCTTTGACAGTGACACCAATGTCGTGAAACTTTTCTTTGCGCTGCCCGACAAAAAGCCATATGAGCATTGCAAATGACGACGGCTGTGTGAAATATTGTGCAGATTCAGAGGGGTGTGGTGAGCATGTGACTGGCGGCCGATCAAACCTCGGAGCGGTGCCCACATTCGGTGCATTGGACAAAGCCCACATCCTCGCCAGCGTAGAGTTCATCAATGACGGTACTGCCGGATGTGCCCACGAGAGACCGCTCAACGGCATCAAAGAGCACACGATTGAGCTCTTGAACGTCCTGCTGCTGGATTTCCTGAGATCTGTCGAGATGCACGGGCCAAGGAAACGTCAGACTTGTCCCATCTCGCTAGGCAGCACACAAGCACTCTCGGAATTTCAAAAACCTGGTCCAGCCGAAGGATTGTGTCAGCTCCTGTAGTTCTATGACCGCCGCATTCGAGGCAGCCATGCGTGCGAAAAGGCGCTACGTATCATGCACGCATCAACGTGGTTGATATGAGCATACTCCGTCTGCTAGCCGGGTCGCACAACCTGGTGTTCATGCTAGAAGCAGACCAAAGCAAGCGTACCAGAAGGGCCCAGGGGATTCGGCGTACGGCCGCCTCAGTGGGTTGTCGCTCCTGGTCTGGCTTGGTCACGCCCAACTCTGCAGGCTCTGAATTGTCAAGGGTAGTCCAATGGCCAATGCATGGTGAGCCACAGCACCAAAGGCAATGGGGGGGACACAAGGGACTGGCAGGTACAAAGCAGGTCATCAGGCATGGTGCGTACTGAGTTGAAAGAGTCGCTCGCGGAGCAAGGGGGTGAAAAACATGGTCTGAATAAGACTATTGAGGTAGCACGTAGTGCCTAGGTTGGCCAGACCTGCGGGTCGGATGCGAGCACGGGGCAGCGGACCAAGCGCGCATGCAAGATAGAAACGGTCAGGTATCATCGGTGCTATGTCCTGATGTAGAAAAGGCGGGCGCGGTTTTGTCGGCGGTACCAGCAAGTCCCGTAGCGTTGCGAAGGCGAGCTGGCCGCGGCCCAGCAGCAGCAGCACCACCGGCATGCGCTCCTCCGCCCGTGGATGGGACAAATGCTGCTGGTGCAGCATCTTCCTCGAAGAGATCAAAAATGGTGCCCAGCTCTTCCATGTCGTCCATGATGACGGTGAGCCCACCGCACCAAGGGCGCGTCGAGTTACTGCAGTACACCGGGGTCAGACCGCCTGATGGTCCAATGAAACGCGGCAGCAACGGCAGCGCCCGCTGCTAGCAGTCATACGAATCAACTATCTCTATCTTCCACACAGCACGCCACAACAAGGCACACCACACCGCAGCACAAAGTAGCACTCGGTACCCGGCACCCTGTCACGTCCAGGGTCACGCTCACGTCCAGGGTCACGTTCGGTCCCCGCGACTGGTCCGGTAACTGACTGGTCCCACCACCAACTTTGGTCGATGCCCTCGATAATATAATTGCTTGCAACACTCGACATCAAATTGCTGACATTTGGTGTTTTGTGAAAATGTGTATAGTTGGAGAACAATATATCACTGCCCAACGATAGTTTTTGATTCACTCAACTGCGCGTTCGGAATATAGCCGTTACATGAGACGACGTAGTAGTGGGTTGTGAGCGCGCTTTTTTCTCGCTCGACCGGTAAGTGCGCGCGAGTGAGCTCATCCGGGTTGATGCTGGTTTCAACGTCTGGACTTGCCAGGGTCGGTGAACCGACGAGCGTCAGGTCTGATTTCGATTCGTCTGTTGATCATTCAGGGGTATTCTGATTGGTTTGGCAGTTTGAAAAAGCGTGCCACACACCGCCACGCTACCATGGCCGAGCCGACCGTGCCTGTGCTGGACGTGCCTCTGGCTGCCCAGCGCCTGGGCCAATTGCAACAGGTCGGTCTCCAAACTTTTGCTTTTTTTTTTTTTTTTTTCATTTATTCATCTTTCCTTCTTCAAACATTATTCGTCATGACTCCTCCGAGTGTTCCTGGATGGAATTGCATTCGCCATTTTTCGAGTCACTGCCCCAGCCCCCTGATGACCTCACTTTGTCTGCTCAATCTTTGCTGTGTTGAGTACCACAGAAACTGGCAGCATGGAACGTGGATGTCCTGACCTGTGCCGTGTCCAAGGCTGATGAGGAGATTATGCAAGCGCGCAACATCGCCTTTTCGGTATGCATACGCTCCCTAGCAGGCTTGACCGATGCCCGCCCCATCGGCATAGCTCGGCCGGGCCGCTCACTTGTGGGTCGCATTTTGTTGACTTTGCGTTCAATAGGTTCACTTGGCTGGTCTGTTGATTTCGGAATGCTTCTTCATGGTGACGCCCAAGACGCTTCACGTCTTCACTGGCAAGAAGAAGCTTGAGTATTTGAAGCCGTTGCAAGATGTACGCGTGTGCCCGCTTGCTGGTTCAGACTGTGCCTGATGTGTCACTCACCCGTGTCCCTCTCACCAACGCCAGCGCCTCGGCGAAGACAGCGTCAAGCTGCATGCCCGCAACAAGGTTGGTCTAGTGTACATCTCGCTGCCAAGTTCTTCTTGCACAGATCAGGCTCACTGGTCATCTTGGCTCTGCAGGCCGATGGTAATGCCGAGAATTATGAAAAGGCAGGCGAGGTATTGGAACAGAGCAAGAAGGTGCGTCCGAGCACTCAATCTCAGCTTGGCTTTTCTTGTCGATTTGTGTCTGAATCTACTTGCCCGAGTGCGTATCCCTGACTGGGACGACCGCAACTATAATCCACGCTTGCACGCAGGGCGTCGGTTTCGTCTCGACACGACACTCAGGCAGCCAAGGCCCGTTCTTGGACGGATTTGAGAAGCTCGTGCAGAGTCAGTATCATGCTTCTCGTATCTGTGTTTTCACCCTTTACACTGCTCGGCTTGAAACTTTGATCGCAAGCCTCGGCCCTTCAACCCTCCTTGTCGAGCATGCGCTTCTCATCTTGGTGGACTACTACTTTTCGCTTGTCACGTTGTCAACAGAGGCAGAAGCTCGTGACTTGGGCTCTGAAGTTGGTCACCTCATGATCGTCCAAGATGACAAGGCCATGACAAACTCGCGCAACGCGGGTCTCTTCAGTGCCTATGTCATGCAAAAGGTCCGTGTGTTGGTCTTGAAGTTGCATGCTTGTGCTTCCCAAAACTAAGACATGCTGGTCTTCTTCTCAACCCACGTGGTCCATAGATGGTGCGCAAGACGCTTGTCACCATGATTCAGGACGATGAGGTGGGGCGCAAACCTGTTCGGATCGCCTGCTTTCCTCGCTCTCATTACCATGGGGGACCCTGTGCTGTTCACAATCTCTCACCTCTCGCTCGTCTATGTCTTGACATACGAACACTTGTGCAGCGAATCTCCAATGCTCAACTGGCTGAGGACCTGGAGCGCGCCAGCTTAGATGGGCGCGTATCCAGCAAGCTCAATCTGGATGGCAGTCTTGATGCAGCCATGCTGCCCATCGTGCAGTCTGGTGGCCGGTACGCTCATGCTTTGAGTTTTTGATTGCATGCCTTGACCAACCTAGATCACCCCACTCTACATTTCCTTGTTCGAAAAAGCATGGTGCGACCGTTGTTTGATCGCTTGACTTATGGTCGCGCTTGGCCCTGATCCATGCTAGATACAATATCAAGCTTAATGCACAGTCTGATGACAAGCGCCTGCGTGCTGGCGTTGTGCTTATCAACATGGCTTATTCCTACAACAACTATTGCGCAAATGTGGCTCGTACCTACCTCTTTGACCCGAGCAACGTGCGTAACCAGAAAAATCAAATTGTGACTCTGCTAAAGGCTGCAGCCGTCTTGTATGATTGCACCGCTCACTTGACTGGGATCGACGTCCTTTGCACTTTTGATTAGGAGCATGAGCGCACCTACAAGCGCCTCTTGGAGGTGCGCGACGAGGCCATCAAGGCTGTGCGTGTTGGTGCGACCTTGGGCCAGGTGTACGATGCGGCCATCAACTACTTGAAGCAAGAAGATGAACTGCTGGTGGATCATTTGCCTCGCGTACGTGATTTCGGTGCACCCATCTCTCCTTCCGGGCATGCGAGTCTCTTTCTTCTTCTTTTGGTTCGACCTGGGGAACCCGCGCGTTTCTCATCCCGGCGAATTACGATCCGCAGAACATTGGGTGTGCGATTGGCGTGGAGCTACAGAACAAAGATTTTGTCATCAAGTCTGGGAATGACAACATCATTGAAGCAGGCATGGTGCTGCGACTCAACGTGGGCTTTGCCGATCTGGAGGATCAGGTGCGGCAACCTCAGCTCAAGGCCATGGGTGCAAGCTCGCAGCCGGTAGCCTCGGTACTCACTCGATGCTGCGATGTGGCTGACTCGATGTGACGTCTATCTTCCCTGAATTGTGCAGGGCAAGACATTCAGTCTTTTGGTCTCCGACACGGTTCTCGTGTCACCAAAAGAAACCACGGTGCTCACAGAGCAGGCCAAGTCAGACTTGGACAGCATTCGCTTCCAATTTGCCGAGCAGGATGAGGAGGCGCAGCAAGAGGCCAGCCGTCGTTTGGCCGTAAGCCCTTGCACATGCGATTTACTACGTCCGGGTCTTTGCTTGCTTTGTATGAGACTAAGTCTTGATGTTTTGTATGTGACAGCAAACCTTGGGTGAGCGTAAGAGCCGCCATGAAAACAGCGCCGTCAACGGTGATGCCGAACGTGCTGACCACCAAGCCGAGATTCGCGAACGAGTAAGCTGACCCACGTGTGATGCACCATGTGCACCGGCATGTGTCTGATCCTCTGTTTTGTCCTTTTGCCGACAGCTCGAAGCAGAAGTGCGCCGCCGTTTGCTGAACCAGGATGATGACGAGGGCTCGGTACGTGCGTGTGTGCGTGTGTGTGGGATGCCTGATCTCTGGCCAGTCGCTCGCTCAAAAGGTTTATCCCGTGCACCAGCTGGTTCTACTCAGCATCTCATTTTGTGCTCCCCCTCCTGTCTGCCCTCGCCCCCCCCCCCCC